CACTATTAAAAAAACAATTCATCCAAAGGAAATTTGTGGCCATTTTTGAAAACTCGCCAAAGGCTTAAAGAGAATTTGGACGCATGTCAAATTTCTCCCTTTCTGGCGATATTCAATCAGAAATGAGATTCTTAGGTGGCCTTTTGTAAAACATTCAAAGTACTTGAGGTCATCCGTGATGAACCTGTTTGGTCATTCATCATTTTGAATTTGTAATTTGGTCTTTATCGTCTTAGGCTATCTTCTCTGGGTCGGTTACAAGAACTACTGGAAGGAATAAAAAAAATCATAAAATAACGCAAGCCGACTGAAAATGACGAAATGCCGCAATATGAACGTCAGCAGCACAATGAGGAATGACCGAAATGATCAGGAAGAAATTGAAGGTTTATCACCCCATAGACCAGAGTAAGAAATTCTTTTGGGTCTGCCCAACTTTGCTATTGACAAACCAAAACAGCAAGAATAGGCAGACCAATTGATCCAAAACGACCAAACTATATATTACGACTGTAATCTTGTTAAATCTTACAACCCTTCATCAGAGAACCTGAATGGAGAATCAGTGGTGTTGTGGTGGTGATTTAATTTTGCAGGTAAACCGCCTATATTGATTAATACAGTTTATTGATCGATGTAGAGCCATCTTGAATTTAACTTCTACAGCCGGAATTTTTTTTAAATTAATCTTTTGTGACCAGTTTTCAACATAGTTCATGATCTTCCAGGGCCCACACAAAAAAAAAGGTTCAAGAAAAAATGTTCACAGTCTAGTGGTCAACGGTGGCACCTAACGCACCAATCTTCTCACGACAATGGCTTTACTTGTCGACCCTTCAGACTCGGCAACATCAATCTCGGCGGAAAAGTCCGGCTCATTTTAGATGATGAAATTTTTTGAATCGTTCGACAAAATTCAAAATTTACTGTTTTGAATGCGGTTGAATTAGAAGTTGAAGAAAATCCCAAATAAATATTAAGAAGGAAATGTTTCTTCTAACCTAATAGATTTATAATTAAGCTCATAAGTTAAAAAGCGAGAGTACTAAATCTGACAGATTGTTGAAATTGGAGTGGTCTATATATTTTGATTTATTCTTTTTCAAGTTTTCGTTCTCAAAAAAGGGTTTTTCAGTACAATTTCACGGCGAAGTTTTAAATTTTTACAGTGTCTGATCAGAAGAATCAATAATCAAATGAGTTAGGACCTTCCCAAGTATTGATATTTGGTATGTTCGTGAGTTGTTTGTTTGTTTTTCCACGATCGTACAGGCCTGTATCCATCGTCCAATTCAAAAATCAGCGTATAAATTTCTAACACGCCTATTTTTGTAAAAATGGTCACGGTAGAGTACATATATCAATTTATCATCGGTGAATAGAACTATCCTTTTAGATATTGCCTATTTTGGGTTCGTCTGTTTCTAAAGTGTTGAAGATAACAAAAAATCTTTCGTGATAATGCTTAGTTTTCATTTTAACAAAAACACCTAGGAAATTAAAACCCTAGACAAATCATATCTTCACAACAGCCAAGGAAAATATACAAGAAAAAGGATCTCCTGATAATATTTAAATAATCTATGGTTGAAAATGTCTTCCTCCTACCAGACCAAGTTTAATGGCTGTAACCAATTTTCGGTTTTATAAGACAAAATGTTGTAATGGTCAAACTGGTGAAAATATTCCAGCCAAGCCAGATATATTCTCAATATAAAACATGGCCAAAGGTTTTTCAGCGTAATTTCGAGGCGAAATGTGAATATATTACATTGTTTTATCAGAAGAAAAGAAGTAGATAAATTAAGGCCCTCCCAAGTTTTGATATATGGTAGGTTCTTTTGTTTGTCTTTCCACTATTTAACGCTTTTAACACCGAAACTGTCAAATTCGACAAAAACGTGCTTATAATATGTCTAACACACCTACTTCAGGGATGGTTAGACATATTACATAGTCTGCATCTAAATTTTGCTAAATTGAATGTGACACAGGTTATTGACTTACTGCTTAATGATTACAAAAATTTAATCAAATACGCGCGCCACGTCTGACCCTATCGTCAAGAGTTAATATTAGAATTTAATTTTTGAATATTTTAAAGACTTGTCATTCTAAATTGCTGGCCCAAATAATTTATATATCTATACTTATTGTAAATTAAACGAAGAACAAAAATTATTGTTTATAATGTATGTTAGTAATTAATGTAATTATTAAAAATTAAATTATCAATTGTAATATTTATTTAAGGATCAATTTTTTTTTTGTACTTTTTTTCTCTGTATCGACCAAAAATTTAAGTCAAATGAAAATCGACCTCCGGCAGACGGACCCTCCATGCCGTAATTTTACTTTAATTTATATATTGGGGACCGCGGTAGCCGAGTGGTTAGCATGAGAGACTCTCACGCCGCGGTCGTGGGTTCGATTCCCACCGTCGCCTCTGGCCCTTTTTTCCCGATAACCCCCAATTTGAACAACATATATAAGAATTCGTCATGGCTAATATGCAAAGATCATAAGGCAAAAAAAAAAAATTATATATTATGTAATGTTTATAACTTTTCGTTTTTGTAATAAGTATTATTATTATTATGACCTACTTTAGTTTGATCGTGTCAAAACTTTAAACTGCTAAAGATAAAAAAAAAATGTTTTCTGATGATATTTGAATATCCCATCAGAAAATATTTCTTCCTTCTGCCAATAGATATTTAATTAGGTTTATTAGTAAAAAAAATATCAATGAACTGAGAGAATTAGTTATTGAAGTTATTTAACAAACTAATTTTATTTCAATGTCAGTTCGATTCGATGTCAGTCCGAGGCATCCTAGGCTTTCACCAATTTTCAGTTTACACGATAAAATTGAGGATAGTCAAAGTTAGAAATTTGAAATATTCAATCAAGCCCAGAAATATATATATGGTCAATGTAAAACTAGGTCAAAGGTTTTTTGAATGAGGATGTCTATTTCGACAAAAAAAATCGGCAAATATATCTCTAACATGATTATGTTTGTTCGATCTTGTCAAAATTTCAAAATTATTGAAGACAAAAATGTGCTTCCTGATTATATTTGAATACCCCATGATGAAATATATTTTGGTTAGTTAGTAAAGTTAATTAATGTAGCTCCATGTTGTCCGATTCGATGCACCTAAGCCAGCCTGGGGCTCCTTGGACTTCACCAATTTTCAATTTACGTGATAAAATTGAGAATGGACAAAGTTGGAAGTTTGAAAAATCAATCCAGCCAAAATATATGGATATGGTCAATTTAAAACTTGTGGCCGAAAGTTTTTCGAAGGAGACTCCATTTCTACAAAAACCCGACATATATATTTCTAGCACGCTTATTGTAGTTCGATCGTGTCAAAATTTCCAAAGTATTGAAAATAAAAAGTGTTTCCTCATATTTGAATATCTCATGGGAAACTATATCTTCGTTCTGCTGAGGATTATTTAATGAGGTTAATTAACTGAATTCCATGTTGCTCGATTCGATGCACCTAAGCCAGTCTGGGGCCCCCTTGGACTTCACAATTTTCAATTTACGTGATAAAATTGAGATGGACAAGGTTGAAAATTTGAAATATTCAATCCAGCCTAGATATTTGGATATGGTCAATGTAAAAGAAAGGTTTTTCGAACGGGACTGTCCATTTCGACAAAAAAAAATCGGCATATATATTTCTAACATGCTTATTTTAGTTTCATCTTGTCAAAATTTCAAAAGTATTGAAGACAAAAAGTGTTTCCTGAAATCATGATTATATTTGAATATCTCATGGGAAAATATATCCTGGTTAGTTAATGAAGTTAATTAATGTAGTTCCATGTTGCCCGATTTGATGCACCTAAGCCAGTCTGGGGCCTCCTTGGACTTCACCAATTTTTAATTTAAATGATAAAATTGAGAATGGACAAAGTTGGAAATTTGAAAAATTCAATCCAGCCGAGATATATGGATATGGTCAATGCTTTTCAAAGATTTTTTTTAACGAGATTGTCCATTCGACAAAAAAAAATCAGCATATATATTTCTAACATGATTATGTTTGTTCGATCTTGTCAAAATTTCAAAAGTATTGAAGACAAAATTGTGTTTCCCTTTTTATATTTGAATACCCCATGAGGAAATATATTTTGGTTAGTTAATAAAGTTAATTAATGGAATAATTATTTCAATGTGTCGGTTCGATTAGATGCACCTAAGCAAGTCGGGGACATCCTTGGCTTTTAAAATTGGGAATGGTCTAAGTTGGAAATTTGTTGAAATATTCAATCCAGGCCAAATATAAAGCACAATGTAACTCTTGGCCATAGGATCGATGCCTGACCCGAGTGGTGTCTGACATTCCAGACAACCCGTCAGACTGAAAAGTCCCGATGCTTTCGTTCTACTTTAAAGAAATGGTTTAAATAAATAAAAAATAAAAAAATAAAAAGAGATTTGTCTAAAATACCGACTACCATGCAATTATAAATGTGAAACTCAGACGTGGAGTCGGCGCTCTGCATCAAGGTCTCAGCCTAGCCAACGTACACCGGCAGCTCGATTTCCCCGTTTTATCACCAAAAGTATTTCGTGGAGTTTCAGTTGAAAAATTATGGATAAAATAGTATAATGTATGAATAAAAAATAATATTTCGTTTTTAAGAGTTGGTTTAACCAATAGCCGTGTACATAATGGAGATTAAGAAAAATTCTTTGTAAGTTGAGAGGGGGTCTGATGCATGGAAAACAGATCTCGGTGTCCAAAGTAGAATTTTTTCTTCTTCTTGTTTTTTTTTTTAATCAAAGAATGTTTAGTGCATTAGGCTTCATGTGAGGAATTATAGGTTTTTCAAAGGTACAGGTTGCTTAAGACGGTATATTGCTTCATGCCTCATCCTCCTGTGACATGAGAAAAGGGGAAAAGAGCACATAATCAGTCGTGCAGGCAGTAGTTCGACTGCAGCTCGCCTAAGTAGGTAAAATTCTCGAAGGGAATATTCCCGTTTTTCTGCTGAAGAAGTGGGGGAGCCACGTCGAGTACCGATAGGAGCCGCTATTGATCCCCCACTTGGTTTAGGTGTCCTTTCCTGCACAGACTGTCGGAGAGTTTGCCTCGTTCTTCTAACACCAATTTCTTCTGAGAGACCAATACAATAATCCAGGAAAATGCAGCCGGCAATAACTGATCCAGTCTCCTTCGCAAAGGATTTCGTCGCCGGAGGTGTCGCAGCGGCTATCTCCAAGACGACCGTAGCTCCGATAGAACGAGTCAAGCTTCTCCTCCAGGTCCAACACATCTCCACCCAGATCTCCCCGGAACAACGGTACAAGGGTACGCTGATTTTGTCTGTTTTGAGTAGAATCCGGGCTCGCCGGTTGACCCACTTGACGCCGATTATCGGTTTCGTCAAGAGGGACACGACAGAAGCCTTCCTGTTAATTTTCTGCCAAGTAAACTTTTTTTTAACCGGTTTTCCCGTCTTTTTTCTTAAAACCATGCCTGGAAGAAAACGTGGTACCGGGTCCACGCCTTACAGAAAGGACGGAAATTCCCACCCGGTGCGCATGCGCCCTTCGGCCTGCAGAAAATCCCTTGCGTAACCGTGACGTGCTCCATTTTGTGAAAAAAGCCTGCAATTAAATATAGTCGGGAGAGGATTCTTTCGAAATCGGAGCCAAGCTCCAAAAGATGGATTTAGATCTTGGTATGGATCCATCTCGTCTCAAGGTCGGCCGACACGTGGTGAAGGTGCCAAAATGGCGCCCGGCCTTTCTGCAGCCTTTGCCAGGGGCATCGTTTCAATTACGCCGGGTCGACTTTTAAAAAAAATCCATTCTTCTGCATTTTCTTCAGAGGGTTTACAGAAGAAAATCATAAAATGAAAAACCTACCATAGGCGCTTGTTCAAGGGCCCTCAGCCGTAATTGGCCATTTCCTCCACAATGTACCATGGTGGGAAATAAAAGTTACTCGTATGACAGTAACACCAGAAAAAGTACTTTTCTTCAAGTTATTTAGCAGAAGAGGCTCGCCGAGTAAACGAAACGGCATGGCGAGATGACCTTTGCCACATTAGAAATTATGAAGGTGGGGCGAGTACGTAGATTCACTTTTTATAATTGATAAAACTTTGCCTTTACCCACCTCGAGGAGGTCTCGACCGGTTCGACCTTGGCACCCTGACGTCAACGTAAAATATGTGTCATTAACCATTGAGGCGCCGGCAGATTTTTTACAAAAATAAAAAAAATATCTGCACGCCTATTAAAATATATAAGTATATATATATAAATAAAACACCCCACACTTCAATTAATAATCTCATAGGTTCTACCTATAATTCGAATGAAGTTAGTAATGGTAAAATATTTGCAGCAACACCAATTCTCCACTCTCAGACACACTTTTTAAAAAAAAAAACCTCCCATAAAACACCCTTAAAAACATACTCATAGGTTTTACTACTACTCGAGTAAAGGGAGTAATGGTAAAAAATTGGCAGCATTACTAATTCTTCACTCTCCGATCAAACCGGATACATACAAAATAAAAGCATCTACACGCTATTTGAAAAAAATAAAAACGGTCCCATAAAACATCTTTAAATACATAATCTCATAGGTTTTACTACTACTCGAGTGAAGGTAGTAATGGTAAAAAAAATTAACAGCATTACTAATTCTTCACTCTCGGATCAAACTGGATAAATATCTACACTCCTATTTAAAAAACTAAAACACCTTTAAATACACAATCTCATAGGTTTTACTGCTACTTGAGTATAAAAAATTGAAAGCATTAATAATTCTTCACTCTCAGATCAAAACTGGTTAAATAAAAAATAAAAGCATATACACTATTAAAAAAAAAAACTAAATACATAATCTCACAGGTTTTACTACTGCATGAGTAAAGATAGTAATGGTAAAAAAATGAAAATATTAATAATTCTTCACTCTCAGATCAAAACTGGTTAAATAAAAAATAAAAGCATATACACTATAAAAAAAAAAAAAACTTAATACATAATCTCATAGGCTTTACTACTGCACGAGTAAAGATAGTAATGGTAAAAAATTGAAAATAATAATTCATCACTCTTGGATCAAAACCGGTTAAATAAAAGCATATACACTGTTTAAAAAAAAAATCTTTAAATACTAATCTCATAGGTTTTACTACTGCACGAGTAAAGATAGTAATGGTAAAAAATTGAAAATATTAATAATTCTTCACTCTCCGATCAAAACCGGTTAAATAAAACATAAAAGCATATACACACACGCCTATTTACAAAAAAAACGCACTCATAAAACATCCTTAAATACATAATCTTCTAGGTTTTACTACTGCTTGAGGAAAGATAGGGCTGATGAATGCACTAGGTGAAAAAGAAATTCCTTAGTAAGTCTATCAGGAAAACAAAAATCTACCTCGCTCTTATTAGACAAGGAAGGAAAATAATAGATCTTTATACTGGTCACTGTTTAGTTAATTATCACAACTGATACAGAAACATGCTGACTATGTCATGAAAAATCAAAGATATTGGAATTTTCTTTTGTGACTGCATAGTACTAGCCTGGAAACATTACAGCCTCTTTGGGAAGGTGAATTTGACGCCTAAGGAAATAAATAAAGAGGAACTGCAAAAAACCTAACATGCTCATTGCTTGTTACCAGCACGGAAGTCATGATGTGCAACGTTTCTAGGAATAAAAATTTTTCCCATATGGTAAGGGGAAATTGAAATACCAATCATCCTCTTGCCCCCTCACACATCCCTCACACTGAGTGTCTGAATTGGCTGGTTTCTAATGGCATTTGTACTCCAAGGTGGAAATTTGGCAATAGTGTGCTGTGACAATCACATTTGTAATATATACTAATATGAATTTGTTACAAATAAAAAATTTAAAAATGAAGATGTCTTGGGATGCCCGGAAATTAATGCAGGTTTTCATGTTTTCTTTCAATTACCCCTCTATAATAAACTGTTTGATGGATTTTTATTTTGTACAAATGTCAACACTTTTTAATCCTTTTCCAAATAAAAACCTCTGTAGCATTTTGTTACTTGGAAATATTGAGCCTTTAGTAAGATTTCAACACATGCTTTTTACCTAATTTCGTTTTATGAGTTTAAACTCGGTCTGAATGGTGCCCAAACAACCAGAAACATTAATGAAGTCTGTAGCGATGGCAATATGGGTGAGAGAAACATCAGAGATGGTTTAAAAAATTTCAAGAGAGACACTTTCCTTGAAGACAAAGGTCGTGGAAGGATTTCTTCCTGTTAAGGTTGCGAGCTTTGGTTAAAGTAAATCCCAGAACCTATCAAAGGACCATCGCAGAAAGTGCTTGGACTAGAGTAATAGTTGGACTGCTAACTGCACACTGCACATATTGCCAAGAAGAAGAAGAAGAAATAGCAGAAAACGTCCTCTGTGGTGCGAAGGCCTATGTAGGCATGAGATTATTAATCCTGGGAGAGGAAAATCCGTGGCCTGAAAGATACAAACAGGAGCCTTTGAAAAAGCTTTGGGATCTGGTATAAAGCCTTATGCTTAGCAAGGAGCTCTAGATTTAAAATATTTAAAAAAATGGAGATGCACAATAGTCCAATACTGGTCACGGTACACAGGTCGTAAAGAGGCCGACTCCTTTATAATCTATCTATGTAAATCCCATAACAACTGTTCTCAAACTTTCAGATAATCTTTCAGTTAGCAAATCGACCATCTTAAGGCAATTGGAAATGTGAAAAGCTCGAAATTTGGGTTCATCATGCATTAAATGAAAGCAAAAAAAAAATCATTATGAAGTTGGTGCAACACCTCTTTGCCAAAACAGAAACGAACCTTTGTGGAATTGTTACTTGTGATGAAAAGAGGATTCTTTACGATAACAGCAGACATTCTGGCAAGCAGCACCACATTTTTAAAATCCCCCCCATTCATAAAAAAGTGACTTCTTGGTGGGTGGGATTCATTTGCGCTGATCCTTCACAGCTCCTTGAATCCTGGCGAAACAATTTTAAAATGTATCGCTCTCAAATTGAAACAATAGATAAAATTGGCATTATTATAGCATCTTCACCAGAAAAAGACAATTCTGTTACACTACATTGCTCAGCTCCAAGTCTCACATGTGACAACATGAAAACTGTCAGATCATAGTTATGAGGTTCTGCCTCAACTTCCCTATTCTCCAGACTTATCGTCTACCAACAACCATTCAGGCAATCTGGACATTTTACAACATATAAAATGTATTGATAAAAACCGTTAGAAAATGCTTCTTCTTTTTTGTTAATTTGTTAGAAATAAATTTCGATTTTTCAAAAACAAATAAAAGAATTTGTTAGTAATAAAGACTCAAAATTCTAGTCAGAGAGTATAGAGAAGTTGCCAAGTTATTAATTTATATTTAATTTGTCAGGTATGATCGACTGCTTCGTCCGTATTCCGAAAGAACAGGGAGTCCTCGCATACTGGAGAGGTAACATGGCTAATGTCATCCGTTACTTCCCGACCCAGGCCCTCAACTTCGCTTTCAAGGACAAATACAAGCAAGTCTTCTTGGGAGGAGTTGACAAGAACACACAGTTCTGGCGCTATTTTGCTGGAAATCTCGCCTCTGGTGGTGCTGCTGGTGCCACTTCTCTTTGCTTCGTCTACCCGCTTGACTTCGCCCGTACCAGGTAAACCAAAAAACCCTTCTTTTAAATTAGATGATATGCAGAATCTTATCATTTATATAAATTTGTTTAAGGAACATTTCTTATTTTTGCAGTGTTATAGCAAATGTATTTTAGCAAACTCTTCTGTTTTAAGGGATTAGACTGATAGCTTGTAGTAAACTTGTTTTTAAATGTTTACAGGTTAGCAGCTGATGTTGGAAAGGGTGACGGACAGCGTGAATTCAAAGGTCTCGGTGACTGCTTAACTAAAGTCTTCAAGAAGGACGGTCTCGTCGGTCTCTACAGAGGATTTGGCGTCTCAGTCCAGGGTATCATCATTTACAGAGCATCTTACTTCGGCTGCTTTGACACAGCTAAGGGAATGCTCCCCGATCCTAAAAAAGCTGGTTTCTTTATTTCATGGGGTATCGCACAGGTAAGATCTTCAACTGTGTTTGACAGTATTAATTGACCTACTTCTCACTCAAGAAATTTCAACTTTATCAATAACTCAAAATAAAAATTTTGTTACAGGTGGTCACGACTATGGCTGGTATTATTTCCTATCCATTTGACACTGTTAGGAGGAGGATGATGATGCAGTCTGGCCGTGCAAAAGCTGATGTCGTTTACAAGAATACCATCCACTGCTGGGGTGTTATTGCTAAGCAAGAAGGACCCAAAGCTTTCTTCAAGGGAGCTTTCTCCAATGTCCTCAGAGGCACTGGCGGTGCTCTCGTACTTGTACTTTATGATGAAATCAAGAACTTCATCTTCTAAAGTCATTGTCGTGTGTCAGCATTCTACCCCCTCTTCATCTGTAACATTGATTTAGCATTCCACCTTGCGCCAAAACGAAACCAGCCCCGATGAGGGGGCCCCACACGATTTAGGTGTTACTCTGTAGTTTTTGAGTAAGGAAAAAAAAAAGAGAAAAAGTAAAAAAATTAGGAAAAACAAACTGTGAACTGCGATCAACACGAAGCGAATGTGTATATAATTATTATATCGAAATTAAATAAAGCTGTTACTCGACAACTGGACACAATTAAAACAAAAAACAATAAAGGTTTTGAACCGCCCTGGACTGAACAAAAAGTTTGTAACCTCAGGTGAAGTTATTTATTGTCTTTGTTAAACCTTGAGGTTTTTGCCTTTTTGTCTTGAAGGGGTCAAAACAGAATTTGTTGTTTTTATTAACAATCCTTTTTCTTCATTTATATTAATCAAACATCGATTTGTGGTGTTCTTCTATGTTCAATTTTAAAAAACAAGAACGACTTCTTTTATTATAGATTTATTTCATGCCAAGCAAACAGTTGGTTATATCTGTTCACAACATATTGTATCGTGTATTTTTTTAATATACATTCATAATTCTAAAATTGTGGTCACATTTTCTTCTATTGGGTTGTCCGGAAAATAATGCAGGATTTTGGTATTAAACAAAAAAAAAGAAACTAGTTACTTTAAAGCAATGTTCTTTAATCAAAATAATTNTACAAATGAGTAATCCTGTAAACGTAAACAGAATATTTTATATAGATTTTTTTTAATGAAAACTTAAAATCCTGCATTATTTTCCGGACAACCCAATAATAGCCTCATGTCTAGTAAATTTGCGATAAATTAGAAATTTCATATAGTTTCCTCATTTTCATTTCCTAATTTCATGACATCCTTTTTTTCTTTTTCTTTTTTTCATTAATAAAATATCTTCCTCATTTTCATTTCCTACTTTCATGACATTTTCCAAATTTGATTTTTTTTCTCTCTTTTTTATTAATAAAATCCCATGTTATAGGATTGAAAAACAAAGCTTGGCTAAATATACACGAATATGAACAAACTGCAAATTTGAACAAGAAGGGATTGAATTTTATTTTTATTTTTTAAATTTAATCATAAAAATTAGTTTTAAAAATTTGTCACTAATTTCAACAGCAACTCTTACTAAAATTTAATTGGTACTGGATGTCAATTAGTATTTGTTATTAATAATTTTTATTCTACATGCAAACTTTTGTGTGCAATGAATAAAAATTTAAGAAACCACATTGTGTCATCCTCTCCAAGAAGTGAAATTAGATGCTGTGTCAGGTAAGAGAGTAAAATAAAATTTCATAAATTGTATATTCTATGAAAAAATGAACAAAATTTTTTATAATCAATTAAAAATTGGACTGGCTGGTTATACAGTATACTCCACAGTCAGTATGTTGAACACTATAATCACATGCAATGTGTGTTACAGATTTTTTATTACAAATACTTAGTCAAGATTTCATTTCAAGTAGAAGGCTGGTTTTGGGTTTCGACAAAACGTTAGTATGGATGAAACAAGAAAGCTAATAATTGTAAGGTGTTAGTAGTAAAATGTGACCTGAATGTAACAACAGAGATCAGAATATGGTGGGCAAAAGCCTTGGAAAATATGACGCAAAATCATTTTAAAAAAATTAGCATGTCAACATTAATAAGGCAATGCATTACGTGCTCAGTCCAGCAATGGAAGTGACGGATTGAGATGGAAAAGGATTCAAATCATCCTGCTAGTGACTTTTTCATCTCAAACTAGGCTCTAGATAAAAAGTGTAATTAATTGAAATAATACACTCAATGTTACAAATTTGATCACAATATATTTTCCACATGGTCTCATAGATAACACTAAAGCCAGCACCCCTCATCGAGACATCGGAATTAGCCCGGAAAGGCGAATTGGTGCCTAAAGAAATAAGTGAAGAGGAACCATGGACAGAGCTAACTACCTTAAAAAGTAGTGCTGGTGACTTGCCTGCAAATCATTGTTTAAAGTTTCTGCGAATAGAAAATTTTGCCGTACAGAAGGGGGAAAATTGAAATACCAGGCTGCGCTAAACCTGAAGGGTTTGTTTGGCTTGGAAATAAAAAAGGGTCAATTTTACAGTAGGTCTTTAAGGTCGCAGTGGAAGAAACTGACTGGTCACCATTGACTCCGAGGAGGAAAAACCAACATTTTTACATACCACGCATATATTAGCCTAAAATTGTAACTGATTCTCTAAAATATAGTTTAAAGTTTAACATAAAAAATGCTTAGGGCTATAATTAGCCAGTAGACGAATTCTCTCACCAAACTCGAGCGACAAGAACTAAATTGATGACTGAACAATGAACTCTTGTAGGACCAAAATCAGATGACTGTAAACCCTGGAAAGTCCTTATTCAAGAACAGTATAAATAATCAATTACAACCCAAAAGTATTTAAATTATATTATCACTGAATATATAATTTAAAGCTTTTTTTAATGAGGGTATTTGAATTACGAGGTTATATGAACCCTCAAGGTGCCAGTGTTTAAAAGAAAAACCATTATAATTATGTTGGGGGCAGGGCTGCTGGATTCAAACCCAGAACTTACGGCTTACAGCGATGAGCGCCATATCAACGACTAACCCGTTGTAGCTTCCAATATGGACAATTAAAAATTAAACCTTAAAAAATGTAACTTCAAAAATTAATATGTCAGGACCCTCAAAGTGCCAGTGTTTAGAAAAAAAAAACATTTGTAAGTATGTTGGGTTCAAACGCAGGGCTGCTGGATTCAAACCCAGGACCTATGGCTAATAGCGATGAGCGCCAAGTCAACGACTAACCCGTTGTAGCTTCCAATATGGATAATTAAAAATTAAACCTTAAAAAATGTAACTTCAAAAATTAATATGTCAGGACCCTCAAAGTGCCAGTGTTTAGAAAAAAAAAACATTTCTAAGTATGTCGGGTTCAAACGCAGGGCTGCTGGATTCGAACCCAGGACCTATGGCTAATAGCGATGAGCGCCATGTCAACGACTAACCCGTTGTAGCTTCCAATATGGATAATTAAAAATTAAACCTTAAAAAATGTAACTTCAAAAATTAATATGTCAGCTTTCTATCATCAGAAAATTAATTAAATAAAAATTTTTCAATTAATAATGTAAATATTTTGAAAGAAAATTGTTCTGATAACAATTCAGCTGTTCATGTGTTTTGATATTGATATTTTTGTTTTTGCTTGAATGTGTAATTATAACAACAATGCATTTTTAAGAAAATTAGTCAATAATTTAAAAAAAAATGAATAAAACTACTTACATAAAGTCTCTACGAGTTGGCTGGAGTTACGTAATAAATTTCTTGTTCTTATACTTGTACTTGTTTATGTTAACAATGAAAAAACCGATTATGTCTTGATAAATGAACATTTTTAATTATTGCCGAAAACTAATTAAAAACTGTTGATAATGATAATTAACGAAAGGGATACGAATTGAATTCAACATTAGAAAGAGAGAAAAACTTAGTGAAACATATGGCTTTCAAGGATTATTTGAATAGACTTTATACTTGTCAAAAAATAAGCAAAGCTTAACAATCACTGCCTCTGCCTTTATACACTTGGATTTATTGTACATAATCAATTTTTCGGGTTATTTAATCTTTTTTTAAATATAATTTATCAACATTTTAAATTTGATTGCAAACAAATAATTTGGGGCCTATTTGAGAAAAAAAGGTAAAAATTCTCTGCCTCCTCAATTTAATTCGTTAAGAACAAGAAGTTTTCAAAAGGTACAATATCTAGCCATATAAACCACCCAAACTGCCATCTGTCTTGTAAGTATATTTAATTAAACATTATTAAATTATTTAAAATTGGTTATTTATATGAATCCATATATGTATTTAGTAATCATAATTAACCTTATTAATTGTTTTGATTTAAGGGGTTAAATTTGGTCTTTATCTAAGGTCTTGTTTGAGATGAATTTACATACGTATGTATATGGATTAATATAATAATTACAGAAATAATTACTTCGCTAACAGCTCCCCATGGCCACTTTATAAGTCAACGATTATCAAATCCTGATTAAACGATGTTTAAAAATATGGTAAAAAGAGGGAAAATTGGAAAAGTTGTATGTTGAGATGAGGAGTTGGTGTTAGAGTGGATCAAAGTTGTGATAGCTCAAGTGGTTAGAGTATTAAGATGAAGGTCGTGGGTTCAAATCTCTCCCGAGCCACTAGATTTTTCACTCCGCAGAAAACTAGAGTCCTTATTAAACTCATAATAATTCCTTTATTCTCTTACTTTCCTTAGACATAATCTGCTCATTGCCTTCAATTTCTAATAAAAAGTATGATTAATAATTCATATAATATTCATAATTCATTTAATAATTATAGAACTACTTACTTCGCTAACAGCTCCCCCATGGGCACTTCTTAAAGCCTAGTACGCACTGGAATTCTGTCTCGGATACATGTCGCAGAGTCTTTACTCAGCAATATTGTCGCTCTGAAAATCGTTTCGCATCTAGTTCGAGTCTGACCCATGTCAAGCGAGGTCACACTCTCAGAATGAGTGAAAAAAGAGCTAACCAAAAAGCCACCACGTTGGTGGATTCGTGAGATGTTCAAGGATCGGAATAAGAAGAAGAATAAAAATAACTTTATTCTGGGACTGGTGTCCCCTAAGAATAATTTACATGAAATAAATAAAGGAACTTCCTTCTATGAAATTAAAAGTAAAAAAAGATAGAAATCTTGGCACAATGTATACCAGTAAGGCAGGCCAGAAGAGAAAATTACGAGAATATTAAACAAAACTAACGAATGTTAACGTGAGGTCTCTGCTTGGAGGGAGAGGAGGTGATTATACAGGTGTGATTTAAAGGAGGAAAATGAGGCAGCGTGATGAATAGAAGGGGGAAGGGAGTTCCAGAGTTTAGGAGCTCAGATCAGAAAGGATCTTCCGAAGGTATGGGTTGTATGTTGCGGAAGGATAAGGTCGATTGGGGATGAGCGGGTCTTACGAGTGTGATGTGAAGAGTTGAATTGGATGGATTGGATGATGTAAGGAGGACGACGAGCGTGGATGGACTGGAAAAAGCAACCTAGGAAATACTGTGCATGGAAGGAGGGGAATAGCCAGGAAAGTTGGGAATACAACCCCGACACCTGGGATCCCTGTGGGGTGTTGTATATAAATATTACGCAACAATTCATAATACACTTCAATCGCGCGTTCCCCCCTCCAAGAGACCACCGTATGCCACACAGCTATAATCGAAGAAGGGAAGTATAAGGGAAGATACAAGGAGTTTGTGGGTGGAGAAAGGTAAGAGAAGCCAGGACTGAAGAAACAGGCTGAGGGAGGCAATGCAATGGCGGGAAATTTGGGAAATGTGAGAATGCCAGGAAAGGTTTTGGTCAAAGACTACTCCTAGGTTTTTAACTGAAGAACAGAAGGGGAGGAATTGAGGAGTTGTCTGGACCCGATAATTATGGCGGAGTATTTGGTCGGATTGAGGACTAGGGAATTTTTATGTGCCCATTCATTGATGGAATTTAGGTCTTTTTGGATCTTGAGAATGGCCGAGTGAAGATTGGAAGGGTGGAAAGATATGTATATTTGGGAGTCATCGGCATGTAGGTGATAGTTACAGGACTGGATGGAGTCCGGCAGGTCATTGATATAAATGGAAAAAAGGATAGGAGAGATGCTAGAGCCTTGGGGCACCCCAGATTTTAGGGGCAGGAAGGAGGAGGTAAGGCCATTGGGAAGGGAGACAGCTTGATGGCGATTGGTAAGGTAGTAGTGGAACCAATGATGGTCCTGGTGTAGAAGGAAAAAGGTTCGAGTTTAGAGAGTAGAGAAGAGTGAGGGACAGAATCGAAGGCTTTGGAAAAATCAAGAAGGACAAGTATTGTAACTTTCCATGGTCCATTGCTTAGTGGAGGTCACTGGTAATTTTTATTAGTGCTGATTGGGTGGAATAACCTTGGCGGAAGCCAAATTGGAGGGGGTTGAGAAGATGGGACTGTTCAAGTGCCTGGAGACTTGTGCTTGGACTAATCTTCCTGGGGGCTTGGACAGGTTTGAGAGGATGGAAATGGGACACAATCTTCTTGACACACCGAGATCCAAGTTCCAAAATTTTGTTCGGATGAGTCCAGTCAACTTCGAATGTCTTATGTAAATGGTTGGACCACACATTTCGAAAAAGGAGACGAATTTTAGGGTGCCAGTTTCTGCTACCGACAGGCTAGCAATCACTCTCCGTTTTCTCTAAGTCTAACTTCATATTTTCAGACTAACTCAGCCACATGTCTGGTTTCTTTCTCCTGAAAAAAAAAATCACAAAAACACAACACACCAGATTCAAGACTCACGTCATGGAGCGTCCCGGATGCAAGAAAATGAATCCCAGACTCAGCTCTGCAACAAAGAGTCTGAACGAAGAATCCCAGTGTGTACTAGGCTTAAGTCACTGGGAATCCTGATTACACAATATTTGAAAATATGGAAAAATTGGAAAGGTTGTAGGTTGAAATGAGGAGTTGGTGTCTGAGCGGATCGAAGTAACAATAGCTCAGGTTAGAGCAGCAGCGTATCGAGCAGAAGGTCGAGTGTTCGAATCCCGCATGTGATACTATCTTTTTCATCTCAATCGAGACCTTAGATAAAAAGTATAATTAATTAAAATTGTTAATTTCCTTATATGGCATGACTAACTGAGCTCTATTATTAAACATGTCTTCCAAGCCTTCGAAATTAACTTTTTCACTCTGCAGAAAACTAGAATTCTTATTAAATCCCTAATAATTTATTTATTCTCTTACTATAGCATTATTTTTTTCACTTTTCTTACACTTATCTGCTCATTGCCTTTAAATTCTAATAAAAAGTATAATTAATTTAAATAATTAATAAGGTCAATTATGACTACATATATGGAGGATTCATATAATAATTACAGAAGTATTTACTTCACTAAGAGCTCCTTCATGGCCACTTTTTAAGTCGCCAAGAATCGAATCTTGATTAAACAATATTTAAAAATATCGCAAAAAGAGGGAAAATTGGAAAAGTCATAGGTTTAGATGAGGCATTGTGTCAGAGTGGATCAAAGTCACAATAGCTCAAGTAGTTTGAGCAGCGGCTTATTGAGCAGAAGGTCATGGGTTCAAATGTCGCTTGTGACACTAGCTTTTCACCTCAACCAAGACCTTAGATAAAAATTATAATTAAAATTGTCTTCTCAAGTCGCCATTCTCTTTGACACTAGCTTTTCACTCTGAAGAAAACGAGTTGATTCAGTTTGAAGAAAGCAGTTCTTATTAAATCCCTAGTAATTCTCTTATTATAGCACATTTTTTCACTTTCCTTAGACTTAAACTGGTCATCGCCTTCAAACTCTAATTCATTCCTGTATTAGATAATATTATTAATATATTAGATAAAGTATTTACTTCACTAAGAACTCCTTCATGAGTTATGATCTTAAACTAAGAGATTTCTTCCTATATTAAGTTTTCAATAATCTTGCACTTATAAACTTAAATTAATTTTCCTCAATACCTATAAACTTTTTGCCCACATTGCTTATCCAAACGCATACCCCAAGTGTTCAACACTTCTCTAAAGCTTTAATCTTTTCCTTCAGAATTGCAGGGACAAGACTACGGGATTTGCTTCCCTGCACAGTAAGTTCTGCTTCTTCGCAAGGTTGAAGTTTTTACAAATGACATTAACAATTTCCTTTTCTTTCCTCCTCAAGACACCAATTCAAGATATTTCTTTCTTTTTGACAAGAGGATCCATGGTGATCTTTGATTTTATCAAATAATTTATAGTTGTTCAATTATTAGTTTTTTTATTGTAGAGGAATAGAAAATATATTCTAATTATCAAATCCACATAATCTTTTTCCTTCAAATAAATATTCTCTAAGTAGAGAAAGAACATTTATTTTTATTAATAATATTAAATAATATTAATGTTTTTGTAGTTATAAAAAAGTTTAAATTACCAATTGAACCAATTTACTATATGTCATATTGGGAAATAACCAATACACAGATGTAGGAAATATTTAAAGAAAAGTTTGGTTATTTATATTACAAATGTGGAAGAATTAGACAAATGGAATTAAAAGAATGGATGAAAATCCAGAGATATTTTGTTTGGTGTAAAGATCAGTGGACTGAAGTTGTTAATATGCATCCAATCAACTTGTTTAATTCCAGTTCATTAATTGAGCCAATGTTTCTACAGTCAATAAAAGACGAGTAACAGTGTTTCAAAGAAAGTTCTGACAATTGAGTATTTTTCTGATGACTTTTACACCATAATATTAAGTAATTTTTATTGTACAGGAATGGAAAATATATTCTTAGAAGAGAAAGAACTTGTATATTTCAACAAATATTTAGTACATTATTAAAAACAATAATACAAAAGTTTTTGGAGTTATTTGTTAAATAAAGGAAAGTTCATTTCAATTGACCTTGTTAAAGCACATTGAAGCTATATTGAGTTAAAAAGAAGGGACACCAAAACTGCCAATTTCTGCAAATAATTAAAACTTGGTTCATATTTAAATTAGTTTGTTTTCATTGTATATTCTTATAAGGTTAAAAAGACAACAGCAGGTTCTCACCTGTAAAATTCTTAAAAAAATATATAGAAAATAAGCCAGTAATTTATATATAATAGCAGCGTTGGTGGCCCCAACGGTATAGTTTTTACCTTAGGCTCATCACTGTAAGGTAAAGGTCCTGGGTTCAAAGTCAGGAGCCCTGCATACGACCCCAACATACTTACAAATGGGCTTTTTTTTTTTCAAAAACACCGACACCCCGAGAGTACATCTAACCTCGTAGTTGAAATGCCCTCATTAAGTTAAAAAAAAAAAAAAATTATAGATATTCATATTGTGTTTTGTCATGAAAATTGAGAGTGAATGTATTTATTAGTGTAGGCATGTAGTGTGAGAGGGCCTATGGAATAGCGAGTACCTCATTACCCTACAATTAGTTTAGTTAGATATATAATATGTGTAAAGGGTGAGGAATATTGAGTACTCCACTACTCTAAGAGAATCGTGTGTATTTATAAGTGAGAGTGTGAGTATGTTTCAATTTAAAAATTGATGCATTGAGGGCTGAAATGACCTAGCTGTTGACAACCCTTGGAGCCTAAATTCAACCGTGGGACGGGTAAGACCAAGACTGCATAATTTATTAATTTGTATGTATATTTTTTTTCCCACAAAATCAGGTGTTTCTGGCAGGCAGCGAGAATCACCCACCTTGGGTTTTGGCTGTTCAGGGTCAGACGTCAGTCTTATCCGTCCTTCCACTGAAGAGCTGTCAACAGCTAAGTCATTTCAACATCCAAACTCACTCACTCTTAAATACATTTTTTCCTATTTACATAATATTAACTTAAGGTTTTCAATTGTTCCCCCCTTGTCACCTGACCTTATATTACTAGTGTAATACTCTACCTCTTTTTATCCAATGCTTGAATTTTCCTCTATTATCTGGCCTCCTAACTACTCTCAAATCCGCAGTATCGAAACAAATCAACATTGATTTCTTAGATACTTGTTTTTGAACCACAATTTTGATTACAACGATGATTTCACAATGTCAATTTTGAATATTGAGGCAAGAAGAACTAGGTCTGACTGTGTTGTTAAAAAAAAAATTAATTTCAAATCCTGACCTATTTTCCTATAAGGTTCGATGTTTATAAACATAAAACTCATAATTTTTCATTATTTAAAGTACCTCATGTTGCAACAATAACTGCTAGTTACTCTCTCCCATAAAAATTAAATTAAATTTTGCCCCCCTTTATTTATCTTACATAATATTTTGTATTGTGTATATATCCTATGTTTCCAATATTTTAAATGCTTTATGTATAACTTATAATTATAACCTATAAGGTTCGATGTCTGTAAACATAAAACTCATAATTTTTCATTATTTAAAGTTGCAACAATAACTGCTAGTTATTCTTCCCATAAAAATTAAATTAAATTTTGCCCCATTTATTTATCTTACATAATATTTTGTATTGTGTATATATTCTGTTTCCAATATTTTAAATATTTTATGTATAACTTTATAATTTATCTATATGTTATGTATTTTAAAAAACCATCAGCCTGTATTCGTAAATAAATACAGAGAAAGAACAACCCCGCTGAAGATCAAGGAATTGGTCAGTTCGTTTTACAGTAGTTTTTACATCTTTAGACATCACAACCGAACTAGACTTATAAAGGAAAAAAATGAAGAAAAAGCTTGGTACAAAATAAATGAAAATAATAATGTAACAAACAAGTAAAGAGAATATATTGCAAGGACAGAGGAAATAACAAGACCATTGGCACTTTAAGTGTCTCAGGATTGATTCTCTGCGTTGGTTTTGGTACAGGCTTAATTAATAGTGGCATATGTTTCGACTTGTTATAGTTTTAAGGATAAATGGGATATTGTATATATGTGTGGATTAGTAGTTAGATACGAAGAAAGCTTGAGCAATGGTTCTAAGGATTTCATACTGGGGTGACTAGATTCTTTGGACTTCGGATAGTTTGGAGTATGGGGAGGTTTTCTAAGTAAGTCATTTGTCCATGTAAAGTCCCAAATAGTACTAAATTGGAAAGGTGGTATTGCAGAGGATAAAGGCTGTTAGTAATGACATGCAGTGTATACTGAATAGAGGACTAAGGATGGTGCCTTGAGGCACACCCATTTTGACATAGCGGGTGGGGAGAAGGTTGTATTGATATGTACTTTGTAAGTACCTATCGGATTTCATGGTTAAATATGTCAATGGAAGCTGTAGAGTTTTTAGAATATGCACAGGTGCCACAAGATCAAAGGCCTCATGTCTAAATCATACGAGCAGCATTCCTTCCATCGAAAGGAATTTGAAGTTGTCATTAAGTTTGGATACAAAGCTGGGAGTATGAGCAAAGGTTCGAAGAATTTTGGACTGGACTGGCTAAATTAGTTTGGATCGTAAAAGGCAGACCTCAGAATGTATTCTGTGTTATATTTTGATGTCTGAGAATGTAAAAATATAAAGTGAAAGATTCTATGAATAATTCGAGTTTGGGTTCCCTTTTAAATTAGTTTATTTACTTTCGTTTTAAATTATTACAGCTAATGACGGTCTTCTTTTAAGAGATTTTTTTAGAAATTTGGTTTTTGTAATATGCTACTCCCTCTTTCACGTTAGATTTTTATGTACACAAATTAATATATTATTTATATTTTTTATAATATTATTGCTTGTAGGATTTTTATTCTTAAAAAAATTAGTATTAATTTTTTTATAAAAATTAATTATAATGGGATTTAGCGCGTGAGATGTTGTCGTGTGGTGCCCGTGACCGGCAGCCGGGACTCCGCAGTTACACGTCACGTCTGCCGAATCGTCTTCGTCGACTGTTATAAGCTGTTGCTGCCTGCTGTACGAAGGGCGTCTCGGGGGTGGCTCTCGACCCTTTTCTTGCTTATAATGACAGTCACGCTTATAAAATGACTTTGAAAAGCTGAAGGCAGATGCGCCGGGACAAGCGGTCATGCTGTCGTCACTCGGGTTCTCTTTGTAAAGTGTTCTCTTCTCTTTTCCTAGAAGATTTTAACAGTTTGTAGTCATGTTCGCAGTCACCGATACACAGAGTAAGTCATTCTTTAATTTTGTCAATTTTTTTTCGGGAAAAAATGTTTGTTTTTTCAAAGATTTACAAGACCGTCTCAGTCTGTGCTAAAGCTGCAAACAGCCTGGTAGTTTGGCATACTCATACTTGAGTTATTCCAATCTGTATTTTAAAAAAAGAAAAACAAATAACTTAATAATGAATTTTATTTCAGAGATAGGCGTCGGATTGGCCGGTTTTGGCATATTCTTCCTTTTCCTAGGCACCCTGCTCTTATTTGATAAAGGCCTGCTAGCTATTGGAAATGTAAGTACCAGTATGGAACTTTTAAACATTAATTGTAGAGTACTGCGGTAGCCAAGCGGTCAGTGTGATAGACTCTCAGGCCTCGGTTCTAGACCCTGTAGTCATGGGTTCGATTCCCACCGTCACCCCTGGCCTTTTTTTATGCAACCCTTCCCCCCGAAAAGAATACGCACCACATATGAGATATACATTCCTTTGCTAACATGCAAAGTTCATAAGGCTGTTAAAAAACAAAAAAAAACATTAATTATCAAAACCATAATTCTTGTGAATAAGCAGTACATAACATGATGACATGTTTCATCCGCACTTTGAACATCCTAGTACACTTTTTATTTGTTTTTTTACAGTTGTATGTTGGCATATCTGGTATAATTTCACATTTTATTCTGAGATTTATTCTATTCAGTGTATGTTCGCATTGAAAAAAAACAGCCCTCCGCCGTACATCAACAACAAATACAAACCAACTTCCATTCAAGTCAAATACAGTAATCCCTTAACATTCGCGGGTGTTTGGTTCCAGAAAACTGCCTTGAATGTTAAATCCGCAAATGTTTAGTCTATCTTCCCCTATGCTGTAAGGAGGGATACGTTTCATGAAGTCAAAAATTGAGATACAATTCAGAACTAAAAAAAAAGTTTATTCAAAAATAAAGTAATGGAAGGCATAAAGTGTTTGAACATGTTAATTGTTTTTGATGTGCAAGGAAAGAAATAAGTATTAATTGTTTGCTGTTCTGCCGAAAAATAATTTATTTAAGAATTTCCACATAAGGATTTGAAACAGCCTTGACATCCCTTTTAAACTTAAACTTCGATTTGAAGGTGGGTCGAAATCCATTGCTTTTTTTAATAAGTTGGTCCCTCGAGGTTAACATTTCCCTGAGCAGTTTTGAAGGAAAGCCTGCATAAAAAAAATTAAAAAATGTAACGTCCAAAATTTTTATTCGTTCACCGAGGGTCAGGACAGTTTTTTTCCGTTTTGGAAGAGGAGCCATTTCGAGACACAAAATCCACGAGAGAAAAAAACAAAATGAGAAGAAAGAAGGAACAGCATGTTGAAAGCAGGCAAAAGTTTTCTGAGAGTGAAAATTGAGCAGACATTCTGGACAGTGGCAGGAGAAGCAGCACATTTTTCAAAGCCCTCAACTCTTCAAAAAAAGTTATACTGACTCTTTGGTGGTCTTCATTTGGGGTGATATATTACGGCTTCTTGAACCCCGGCAAAACAATGCCAAAACGTATTCCTCTCAAATTGAAGCAATACACTAGAAATTGCCATTATTAATTAAGGCCATCTTCGGTCAATCGGAAAAGGCCAATTCTGTTACATGACATCGCTTGGCCTCATATCTCTTATTTAACAACATGAAAACGGCCGGACCTTGGTTATGAGGTTCTGCCTCAGCCTCCGTATTCTCCAGACTTATCGCCCCTCGATAACCATTCAGACATCTGGACGTTTTAGAACATAAAAAATTTATTGATCAAAAGTTAGAAAATGCATTTACAGAATTTTTTTTATAATAAAGACTAAAAATTTTGTTCAGAGGGTATAGAGAAGTTGGCATTATGTTGGGAGAAGTGTATTAGAGTGATGTAGGGTATTTTAATTAATAAAAAAAAAAGTAAAATAAATTATTTAATGGATTTTATTTTACAACCATAAGCCTGCATTATTTTATGGAGAACACAATAATATTTGGTGTGTGTTACCTATAGTACCTATAGCACACTGGTGAGTCCTAGTTTTACAGCTTCTCACATATCCACATTAATTTTTAACTGATTTTAAACTAGTTTTTCATTGTTAAAGAATTAGAAAATTTACAAAAATGATAATTTTTTGCATTGTTTTTCAGATTCTTTTCATTTGTGGTCTCGCATGTGTGATAGGTCTGGAAAGGACGTTTAGATTTTTTTTCCAGAGGCACAAGGTAAAAGGTACTGTTTGCTTTTTGGGGGGGATTTTCGTCGTCCTGTATGGATGGCCGATTACGGGGATGATCGTTGAAACTTACGGATTTGTGTTACTTTTCAGGTAAGAATATTTAAAGCATACAATTTTTGTATTAATATAATAAATTGTATTTACCTTTCAGCGGCTTTTTCCCGGTAGCGATAAACTTCCTTAGAAGGATCCCGGTGTTAGGAACGATCATGAATCTTCCCGGAATATACTCTGTAAGTGAATTTATAGCATCAGCCTCCTCAGGTCAAGAGTGCCCAAAAATTTAACAAAACACAAATTTTTAAAAACAAACAAGCAAACTAGCTAGTTATACCTGGTGTGTTTCTTCTGTGATAATTGAAATGGAATTGAGGCATCAAGTTTGTTACAGGTGGTTGATTGGATAACGGGCGATTCTAAAAGAGTAACTGTCTGACATAATGCAGTAAAAATGATATCTACATTCAAGTCATGTTGTTAGTTTCGTATTCCTAACCGCTAACGGGATAAACTTTTATAAGATAAAAGGAAAGTTTACGCATATACCTATGTGAAAGTGAAAAAAGGACAAGTTTTCTTTTTCTAATTATTATACATACTATTATGGATTGTTATGTGCCATGTTCATATTGAACATGCACGTTTTATTGTGCTCGGTCCTTCAAGCACTGGATACAGTTATATTATAAAGCAATGTACAGTTTTAATTCATAATTCAAATGATTAAAACTTTTTATAATTCTTATTGTAATTTATTTTAATTAATAAAATCATTTTCTTTTTCCAATAATTTACTACCATGTGTCTGTACATTTTTGTTATATTATTGATTTTGATGAGTAAACATTGAGATAAAAAAATGTATAAAAATCATTAACAATTTTTTTGTTGATTTTTAACGGATCCTTGTGTATTCTCATATGAACAGGTTAAGTAGTGGAGAGGCAAAAAATTCCACGGTGATGTGGTCTTGCCTCAGCTGTTGATGGCGTAAAATCTCCCTCTTACCTGATGTGTATCGACTTTCATGGAAAATTCACTAATTTTCGTGACGTAGCTTGACCAATTAATTAAGGTTTTTAGTTGAGATGAAAAGTCAGTGTCACGAGCGGGATTCGAACCCACGATCTTCGGCTAGATACGCCGCTGCTCTACCGCTTGAGCTATCGTGACCTTGATCCACTCGGACACTAACTTCTCATCTCAACCCCACCTTTTCTAAATTTTCCCTCCTTTTTGCCATTTTTCAAATGTCGTGCAATCCTTAATTAATTGAACGATATTAATTGGTCAAGCAGACCACGAAAACTAATGAATTTAATAAGTTAAAATGAAGTAAACCTTCGCTAAAGCTCTCCGTGGCCATTTTATTTGTCACTGAGAATCAAATAGATTACACATTTGAAAAATGGCAAAAAGGAGGGAAAATTCAAAAGATGGAGTTAAGATGGGAAGTTATTTCCTGAGTGGATTGAAGTCACGATAGCTCAAGTGGTAAACCTGCGGCGTATCAAGCCAAAGGTCATGGGTACACAAAAGGATCTAAAATTAAGAGTACAAATTTTGACCTTGCATAACCTCAAAAAGTTGCGATCTATGCAAAAGAAATGTTTACAAAGGGTGTATGTACATACATATTCTCACTCAAGAAGCACCAAAGGCCTGTGAATCCTCCATTTTCAAATCAAAACTGATCTGATAATCCCTTAGAAAAAGTTCTGGGAAAACAACCAGATGCGTGAGGATAAAGGTGATCAAAGTCAATGAACAAGCTGACAAACTAGTAAAAACAAGTAATGTTCACACCCCTTGAACCAGAACTGAAAATCAAGCTAAAAGTGTAACTAAACACATGGAGGAAGAAATTACTAAAGAATGAACAAATTCACCAGGGTAGCCTAGTCTTTAAGGCATGCTAGTTGTTCATCCGCCAGTGGTTCTGGGTTCATTGGCATAGTCTATGGTTTTTTAATTGAAAATTATATGAAAAGGTCTTGTAAAGTGTTTTGACCCCTTGTCCATAACACCCAATGGATAGTTGGATGTTAAATCCTCCTTTACAACAGGAAGTACCGTTGGAGCCGTGATGGCCGAGTGGTTAGGGAGTGTGACTTGTATTTTCCTAACTAGTGATTCTAGGTTCAATTCCCATTACATTTTAAATGTTTAAAATATGTAAAACGTCTTGCAAAGTGTTTTGACCCCTCGCCCACAACACCTAACAGGTAGGTGCACATTAAACCCTTGTATTTTCCACACTGGTGGTTCTGGGTTCGAATCCAAACACAACTCATCAAATTTCAATTGGTTAAAATATGTAAAACATTGTGTAATGTGTTTTACACCCTCGTCCACAACACCCAATGGGTTTTGGTCTGTGAACTCAGGTTGAACCAGCACAGGGCCACATATTGCGTCTGTCTCCACTTGCTGGTTTTTGATTTATTCAAAGCTGCACCCCCAGCAACAAGCGATGGACCCAATGCTATTTAAACCTTTCTCAAAGTGACAGACAGTTCCTTACTGAAGATTGCACAATGCCAAAATGCGTTTGAATACTTGAAAACCCGCAAGTGGAGATAGACCCAGTAAGTAGCCTTGTGCTAGTTCGACATTGACCCAATGGGTAGCTGAACATTAAACTTTCCCGTATAAAAGTTTTCTTTTAATAGATAACTGTGTTGAGGACTATGGTAAGAGAGTCCAACTTATGTTTTTTGCACTAGTGGTTCTGGGTTCCAATTCTGCCAATTGTAAGATTTTAATTTGGAAAAAAATCTGGTTTTGACCCCTCATCTGTAATGTCCTCCTGCTATCAGAAATTACTTTACCTAATGACATCATTAAGATAGATTGTCTTATGCAAGGGTACGTCAGTCCTGACTTCCAATGGGTCAAATAAATAAATCATTGAAAGGTAAAGGTAAAAAAGGTAAGGTCCTGGGTTCAAAGCCAGTAGCCCTGCATTCGAATCCGACATACAAATTTTTTTTTTTAAACACCACCACCGCAACGGTTATACAACCTCATAGTTGAAATACCCTAATTAAAAAATAAATAAAATAATTAAAAAAACTGAAATGAAAAAGGAGATAAGCTGTAACTTCTACAAAATTTCAATTATTTTCTGACCCAAAGCCTTCAATAGTAAGTTAAACTTTTAAACAAATTTTATCAAAATCGGTCAGATCGTGCACATTGAATTAAGAGCTTTGTAATATCATCTTGGAATATCGGCATGTCATTTCTGTCTGAAAAAAAAAATAAATATGCCTACTGTTAAAAATGAGAAACCATCTTTAATTATAAAGCTACGACTAGGATGAAGTATGAGGCAGTATAATTTAACAAACAAAAAAAATTTTAATTATCAATTCTTAGATCTTACCAAAAGCGGCGCTTTGAACTCAGGAAATATCGAGGCATGATAAAAGTTAAGAATACAATAACACCTTTATACAATTATAATCCGTGTTAATATCCGGATGAAAAGGTACAATTCACGGCGAAAAGGATATAAACAATAAAAAATATTTTTAAGGTTTATCATTTGTGTATTAAAATTTTTTTTTATCTATCCAACTTCATTTGCCCCCCCCCCTCTTGAAAACAGATCTTTTACAATACATAAAAAGGAACCTGCATACATTGCACATTACGTTTTATAAACATTCCGAAATTATTACATGTTACAACTCCACAAATGTTTACAAAAGTTACGTTACTGTTGAAAACAACTGTTGCGAAGAAAAATTTTTCATTTTTTTTGTAAGATTATATACATCTCTCTCTACAATTACATTCACTCTTACAGTATATACAAAAATATATATCACTCAAAGTGTAACAAAGATTAAAAATTATTTACAGACGAAAGTCCAATGAAATACACATAGTTCAAATAGTTTTCCTTTGAAAAAAAAAAAAAAAAAAAAAAAAAAAGCTTAACAAAATTTGTATTAAAATTATAAAAACAAACATCGATAACAAAATGGGATGATATTGACACTCGGAGAAACTGTTCAGATAATAAGGTGTGTATTTAAAAATAAATTAACGTCGCAAATGTATTTTTTTGTAAGTTTCAAAATTGTGAAAATTCTCAGAAGTCTTTATCCAAAACAAAGTGCCTTTAAAGATGGTCTTCCTTATTCAAGGCACTATTTTTAATAATTCACACATCTATGCGGCTAAAAATTAATAATAAAAAGGCAATTACACAAAACGGGAGTTGAATGCTTTTAACAAACTATTTTCATGTAATGATTGTTTCATTCTTAAAGCTAATACTTTACTACTAATGAATCACTTATAATTTTTTCAAAAAAATCTAGTTTTACAAACTAAATTCATTGATTTTTAAATCTTCGATCATAGAAGAAATTTCATTCAGCCTATAATTAAAATACAATTACATAAAAAAGGCTTTTACGCCTTCATTTAATTCATATTTCATTACTCTCAGCGACTTTGTACAACTATTTACTTCATGGGCGTAGGGCAACTTTGAAAAGTCAAATCAATCACCTAGAGTTGAACTAAAAAATTTTTTGAAGTGATGTTAGTAATATATATATGGCTAGAATAAGTCTCGTTAAAGGAGCAACAAGAAAAACTGGAGAGAAAAAAATTCGCAGATGGATAAATTTCTACGCTAAAAAAGATTTGATAAAACGAAATTAATAACTTTTTCCTCGTTTGCAATTTTTTCCCTTTGAACGTGCATAAAGCAGATTGTCAAAAGACCAGAGATCCAGAGAAAATGACTACAGCCACCCGGTTCGGCAAAAGTTGCCAACAGACTACTAAAATATAAAATGATGAATAAATTAAATAAATAATTCCAACAATAACAAAAGAATAATTAAGTACATATTCAAAAAGCAATTTTTTTAAATTTGATATTTGTATACGAATCAAATTGTTAGTCCTGTATAAATTTGCCTAATTGAAATCATTATTAAATTAACAAATTAGTAATATGGCACAATTTATTTTTAAATAAATTAAACTATTGGTAGGTAACAAGAAACCAACTTGGTAAATCGTTGTGTTTGAGTTGTATAAAATAACGTTTAGTTTGGATTTTCCTTTGAAAATATTTTTTAGAAAAAATTGGGCCTGTTGTTTTTTTTTTTAATTGTATTGACTATTGAATATTTTCCACCAGTTTATCTTTATTGCAACAGAGACGGTTTGGGGTAATATCAGTCATGAGGAAAATCAAAAATGATCCAAAGGGTTATTTGGCTTCTTGAGGCCGGGAACAGCCTGGAAAAGCTATTCCAGCAGTAACATCACATTTATAAAGTTCTTCTAGCCTGGGTTGCGCCACGGCCAGGTCCATGTTGGCTTGTTGCGCCTGGTTTTGCTGCTGGTTGCTCGGAGCGGTCTGACCGTATTTTTCATGAATCCCCCTGTGCCTTTTCAGCGCAAACCGGTCCGAAAACCCGACATCGCAGATATCGCAGCGATGAGGCTTTTCGCCCGTGTGGACTTTGGCGTGGTTTTTAAGGTGAGTCGCTTGGTTGAACGCAGAGCCGCAGATGTTACAACGGTATGGTTTTTCCCCTGTATGGATCCTTCTGTGGTTCCAGAGCGTCGAGTGCCTGGCGAACGTCTTGTTACAGATTTCACATTCGTACGGTCTTTCCCCAGAATGGATCCTCTCGTGGTTTTTAAGATGCGGCGCTTGTGAAAACTGCATACCGCAGACTTCACATTTGAAAGGTCGTTCTCCACTATGGACTCTACCATGATTCTTGAGGTAGGCGGCTCTCGCAAAGGCCAAACCGCAGAATTCACACTTAAAAGGCTTATCACCAGAGTGCAACCGTTTGTGGCTCCAGAGAGAGGAATAACGAGAGAATGAACCGTCACAGATGTTACAGTGAAAAGGCTTTTCCACTTGATTTTGTACACCGCCAACAAAAAGGATTCCAGAACCGTTACATTTATGACATTTAGTAACTGTCCCCATGCCCCTTCTTTTGACTGGATGGATTCCTTTTGGCGGCTCTTCCGTTTCAGTGCCTACTTCTTGAGTGCCTTCAAAACCCGAATCCCTTTCTGAAGCGTCCTCACAATTTTCACACTTGAGAAATTTGAATTTCTTTTTACTACTAGTGAGATCATCAATTTCGACTCCACACGATGTACAACACTTGTTTTTTGTACCCGTATTGTGAGCAGTCTGTTTATGTGTTTTCAAATCGGAAGCCTGATTGAAATTGGAGCCGCACAAATCGCAGACGTATATCCTCTCGGTGGTCGGATTCGAATGTATCCTTTTGTGATGGTTGAGGAGGGAAAGGTGAGCGAACACTAAACCGCACACATCACATTTAAAAGTTGCAGTCGACGCTGCTGCTGCGAGTGACATTTGATTAACAAGCGCATAATTATAAGAAAACGGCTGCGAAACATCAAACCTGTACTTTTCGTCATTCGCCGCTGCGATGCCGACATTGGTCGCAGTTTGCTGGTGTACCTTCTGCAACATATTTACATTATAGCAAAAAGGGAATTCAGTCACTGTCGTAGGCACTTTTTCTTCTTTCTTCTGTAAAGAGTAAAGTTCAGTGACATGATGCTGTTGAGTCTGCTGCTGCTGCTGCTGTTGTTGTTGTTGCTGCATGTTATTATCGAACATCACCTCTTTATCATTTTCCACACATGTCTGTGTAAATCTATGACAAAATAATAAACAATTCAAAATTTTCCTTTATACAATTAAAACAAATATACAGGGATTCATGCAAACCTATTAATGCTTTCTGCAGGCATAATAAATTGTTTGACGGGGATCTTCAGGATTCCCCTGGCCTGTTGGTGACCATCATTGTCAAAAAGTTGCTTGTGGTCATTCGCAACAACTTTAACTTGTTGCTGCTGTTCCCTACTAATCCAAGTGTTAGTATCAAGAGACATTTTGTTTATTTCTCATATTTCAATTACTATGCTCTTTTTAAAAAAAAGAGATAAGGGGGTACTGTAACAAAATAAAATTAAATAAAAAAAATTTGGATAAAATAAAATTAAAATAAAGATAGGTTTGCTTCAATGAACACTCCAAGATTGCCTAATTAAATATCATGTTTATTATCAATTCAGTAAAAATTCTCCCATAAGAGCAAATATGTTTTATTATTCATTATTAGAATTTATTAGTTCTTGTGCAAATGGGCAAATAACCAGGTAAAATATTGTATCATAAAATAAGTCCTTAGCAGTTTTAATGGCAAATTCCAATTCCTCTACCAGTTGCCATCTTTCATTTAATTTTTTTTGTCCTGCCAGAACTTTTCAGGTTTTTGATCGACGAACCCCTCAACACGTTTCTGCAGTCCTTGATCTCAACAGTTTTTCCCAATAATAGAATTTTTAAAGCCCAGAAGAGGAGAAAATTTGAAGGGGCCAGGTGAATACGATGGATTTGGTAGCTCATATCAGTTAAAAGCACGTCTGCAAAGATACATGGGGGCGAGAATTATCCTGGTGGAAAGCAATCCCCTTGCAATTGATGCCAATCATATTTGGTCAATCAGTCTAATTGTGCATACAGTACTCTAGAATTAACGGCTTGGTTAGGCGGAAGAAAATAATAAAGCACCTTCTTCTAATCTCACTAAATGCTCACAACTTCTTAGGACATTAAACCGGCTTTCGAAGTTGTTAACAGTGGGTAGTTCCATTTTCCCTAGGATTTTTCTCTCATTCTGTAAGGTTCTACTCACATGGGTACAGGTCACCACGTGGATACTAGAGGACCTGACCTTGTTGACCTCTTTTGTCTCACAATTGCATTCATACCATTGGCATGCACAGTGAATGAAAATTTTGGGCAAAAGTGGAAAAATTTCCGGTATTACATAATTACAATTTGAAAGGAATAACCTACAATTTATTGCTTTTTCAATTTAAAGCTGTACCCACAACTTTCTCCCTTTTCTTGTTCAGTACCAGCTAGTGTGAAGTTGAAGGGCTATTTAAGTTATGATTGTGTGAATGTGAAGAGTTATTCAAGTCGTGACAGTATGAAGTGAGGGATACTCTAGGTCAAGAGTGTGTGAAGGTGAAGGGCTACTTCAAGTCATGTCTGTGTGAATGAGAAAGGCTAATCATGCTGTGTCTGGATGAAGGTGAAGGGCTAATCGAGTTGTGACTGTGTAAAGGTGAAGGGCTATTTAAGTTATGACTGCGTGAAGGTAAAGGGCTATTCGAGTTGTGACTGTGTGAAGGTGAAGTGCTATTCGAGTTGTGACAGTGTGAAGGTGAAGGGCTAATCGAGTTGTGACTGTGTAAAGGTGAAGGGCTATTTAAGTTATGACTGCGTGAAGGTAAAGGGCTATTCGAGTTGTGACTGTGTGAAGGTGAAGTGCTATTCGAGTTGTGACAGTGTGAAGGTGAAGGGCTAATCGAGTTGTGACTGTGTAAAGGTGAAGGGCTATTTAAGTTATGACTGCGTGAAGGTAAAGGGCTATTCGAGTTGTGACTGTGTGAAGGTGAAGTGCTATTCGAGTTGTGACTGTGTAAAGGTGAAGGGTTATTTAAGTTATGACTGCGTGAAGGTGAAGAGCTGCTCGAGTTGTGACTGTATGAAGGTGAAGGGCTGAGCTGCTCGAGTTGTGACTGTGTGAAGGTCAAGGGCTATTCGAGTTGTGACTGTGTGAAGGTGAAGTGCTATTCGAGTTGTGACTGTGTAAAGGTGAAGGGCTATTTATGTTATGACTGTGTGAAGGTGAAGGGCTATTCGAGTTGTGACTGTGAGAAGGTGAAGGGCTATTCAAGTTGTGACTGTGTAAAGGTGAAGGGCTATTTAAGTAATGACTGTGTGAAGGTGAAGAGCTGCTCAAGTTGTGACTGTGTGAAGGTGAAGGGCTATTCGAGTTGTGACTGTGTGAAGGTGAAGAGCTGATCGTGTGTGAAGGTGAAGAGATATTTAAGTTATGACTGTATAAAGGTGCAGAGCTACTTGAGTCATGACTGTGTGAAGTTGAAGGGTTTTTTTAAGGTATGACTGTGAAGATGAAGGGCTACTAGAGTCGTCCAATCACCCAGTCTCCTGGTTATCAGGCAGTTGGAGACCAGATATAATCTAACAGAATCGATTTTCATCCCGTTACCCATGTTTTTTTAAAAACTGGTTGTTTACATAGCATTTTAGAAGGGAATTGCGGTAGGATATTTGGTTTAATAAACTCTTCTCAGAAAACAGTCGAGGAACCCAAATATAGCTCCAATAAACATCCAGATACGCTCACACTTGTTGAAACGTATGAGATACTTTAAGTGTGCAATGTCTCATGTCGTTGAATGGGGGTTATTTGTGACAAAAGTTTGAATTTGGTCATCATCACGGTTGAAAAGCGACAGATCTCTTTGTACCTTCGAAATCATACTTTTTACTTCCAATCGAGCAAACCACTTATAGGCGGTAATTTCTCTTAAAGTGTCATCACCATAAATCACAAATTTTCCTAGCAGTCCGAGCTGCAGTTTTCCTTTTGTGGTAATTAAAAACACTTTACCTAATCCCTTTTCAGAATGTGTAAACAACATTCACTAAATAAATATTGCTCCAAATACAAGAGAGATAAAATTGAATTATTGAAAAGCACTACGGACTTATTTTCAAACACAACATTATTACACATCAATATGCAATTTCCATCAGTACTATAATTCATATAAAATAACTTACATAACCAAATGCTATATATTAAGTAAATATTTTTTTTTAAATATAACAAATTACATTGGCTTTAAGTTTTCAAGCTTTAAAAAATAAGGCTGTAAATAAAATAATATATAAACAAAATCGCAGATTTTCTTTATGGAAGAACTGGCAAAAATCTTTTCATCCTGGAGTGTAAACAAAGAAACAAAAAAAAATCAATGCGTTAATTGAATGATTCAGGGTTTGATACATTTAAAAATAAGAGGAAATTTGTTAATTCCAATACCAGTATTAGCAGATAGAATATTAGTGTTTATGTGAATAAAATGGACGTTATAGGTTGGTGATGTACTGTGTTCTTCTCTAATTAATTCAAAACAGTTGAGCCCACAATTTTTTATAATTTGAACCAAATTGCAGTCGAGGTAAGTGAATTTTCTGTTAAGAAATAAAGAAAAAGTGTGGGGTTGTTGGAGTTGACAATTTTTCTCTAGACAAATTTACTGATGATTGGTAATTATCGAACCATAGGCTCATCACCCTGCAGACCACAGGAGGAAATCTAAAAATTTAACATAACCAGGCTACATTATTAACAAGAAATCACCCAAATTCAACACTGAAGATGGCAAAATACCAAAACGCATGATTCACAAAATCATTGAGGTCGGCAAACCAAGACGATAAAACTATTAAACTATAGGTACATCACTCCACAGACTTCAGGATCTCTTCATTTAACATTTTACATAGCCAGGCTACGTTATTGCCAAGAAAACACCCAAACTGAACACTGAAGATGGCGAAATGCTAAAACACATATGATTGATAAAATCAGCAAGGGTAGGCAGACCAGATAATAGGTAACTATCAAACTATAGGTACATCACCCCAAAGATATCATCTCTTAATTTAACACAGCCTGGTTACGATATTAACAAGAAACCACCCAAACTCAACAATGAATATGGCAAAATGTGTCTGACTGGCAAAATCAGTGATCATAGGCAAAAAAGGATAAGTAACTATCGAACTATACTTCATCACCTCGCAGACTACAGGAGGAAATCTCACAATTTAACATAGCTAGCCAGGCTAAATTATTTAGAAGAAATCACCCAAACACAACAATGAAGATGGTAAATTGTGTCTGACTGGCAAAATCAGCGAGGATAGGAAGTAACTATCAAACTGCAGGCTCATCACCCTACAGGCCTCAGGAGGATACCTCTTAATTTAGCATAGCCAGGCTAGACATAGATGTAGATCTAATAGTTAGGGTGTAATATACTTCGCCCTTTAAGAGCTTTTGTTCTTTGCCTAAAGCACATCGGTGAGTCTTATTTCATCAAGAAACTCGATTGATAGGCCCAGGTTTCAGTGGTTGAAGCTCTTCTATGGTCACATTATACATCCCAAAACACTTGGCAATTGTAGCACCGCAGTCTGTTAGTAAGTGTTGTCTCCTCTGCTTCTTTGCAGAATCTTCATGTGCCGTCTTGGATTGTTCCAATCTTCTTTAAGTGTCCATTTAGTCTGCAGTGTCCTGTTAGGAATCCTGTTAGGATTCGCAGTTTATTCCTGCTATCTTTGCCCCATTCTGTAATTTCTTTTCTTCCGAAATTTGTTAAGAGATTCTTGGATTGCCTGTCCAATGAGTGAATTTCATTATTCCTTCATTTTCTTTTTGTCCTTCTGTCCGATATACTCATTGATAGTGTGGGTTCCTATGCCACAGAAGGGTTCGGGTCCTTAGCCAGGATAAGTTTTTAAGTAGAAATCACCCAAATTGAAGATGGCAAAATGCATCTGACTAGCAAAATTATTAGGCTGACCAAGAGAATAGGAAATTGTCAAACGCAGGCCCATCACTCTCCAGACCTCAGGAGGATATCTCTTAATTTAAGTTAACCCGGCTAAGTTATTAACTAGAAATCACCCAAACTTAATATTGAAGATGGCAAAATGCATCTGACTGGCAAAATTATTATAGGCAGACCAAGATGATAGGAAACTACCAAAGTATAGGTACATCACTCCACAGACATCAGAAGGATATCTCTTAATTTAACATAGCAAGGCTAAGTTATTAACTAAAAATCACCCAAAGTTAACACTGAAACTGATAAAATTATTGCGAATGGGCATACCAAGATGATAGGAAACTATCAAACGATATATCAGATGTACTTAACCAAAATAATAAATCAAAGATCATTGATTAAACTGAAAATATCTTATTCTGACTACAAGGAAAAGTGATTTTAAGAGAAAAATTTTATAAATGATTACGTTGTTTAAAAGACCATGACCAAAAAATAGTGCGATTTCCTCCAGGTCTGCAGGGCACTCTAAAGATGGTGAAATGCCAAAACACATCTGATAGACCAGCTGTAGGCAGACCAAGATGACAGAAACCATCAAACTGTAGGTACATCACCCCGCAGACCTCAGGAGGATATCTCTTCATTTAACACAGCCAGGCTAAGTTATTAACTAGAAATCACCCAAACTTAACACTGAAGATGCTAAAATTATGATGAATAAGCAGACCAAGATGATGGGAAACTATCAGATGTAGTTAACCAAAATAATAAATCAAAGTCCATTGATTAAATGAAAATGTCTCTTATTTCGTCTACAAGGAAAAAGTATTTTTAAGAGAAATTCTTTATAAAATCATAGAACAATGCTTACATTGTTTAAAGGGCTATGATTAAAGAACTGCGATTTCCTCCAGGTCTGCAGGGCACTCTAAAGATGGCGAAATGCCAAAACACATCTGACCAGCGAGGACAGGCAGGGCAATATGATCAGTGACAATCGTGCATGTTCAAAGAATTAAGATTTAAGAAATAAAAGATCTTAAGATCTTTAAGATCAGAAAAAATTTCAAATGTTTCTTGTCTTCATCCATATAAGTTATGAAGGCAGACCTTTTAATTGATTAATTTTGCAATTTTTATTGAGGAAAAAATTAAATTGGCCTCACTGATTCGATGTTTTTCAGCCAAATAGGCAAATGGTTGTTTGAGACAGTAAAACTATTAGATTTGAAATATTTTAAAATGTTCTTTTTATGTTTTTCATGCATTGTTGAGTGTAATTAAAAGCAGAGGGAGCCACGAATTCTGAAATGGTTTTTGATTTGCATAAAAAGGAGGAAAACAATGCAAACTGATGGCCAAACAATAGAAGCCAAAAGGTAAATGTCAAACAATTTCGTGGGGCGTTAACAGATGAATGGAAAAGTGAAACTGGTCCGTTTCCCGATGCTAAAAGCGTTAAGAAAAGCTCGTCCAGTGTTAAAATGTGTTTAAAAGGAGGCGAAGAGGCAATAATTGAATTATGTCCACAAACCAACATTAATAGATTTTGTCCATAAGGCGTTAGTGTCGAACGAGAAAGAAGGAAAACTCGGCTTACCACCGGCCTCTCGGTCCTTTTCCACCAACGGCGGAGTTTTCCGGCGGAAAATTGTAAAATGCTAAAACCAAAGGGACGCTCCCTCTCTCTCGTACATTCCGCTCTCTCTCTTTTTGCCCTAGGGGTAATGGCAGCCTCCTGGCAGCCCCTTCCACCGGGAGCTTAGCTGGAGGGATCGATCCTCGAATCGATCCCGCGGGAAAACCTTTTTCTTCCGAGGAAAAGCCGGAAAGAAAAGCGCCGTGGGGAAACGGCCGTCGGAAAAATACTGGAAAACGCTTTTCCTTTGTTCAGGCGATTTCTTTTCCACGGCTTTTCTTGTTCATCAGCCGGTGCCGTTCCATCGATAAGTCGCGCCATCGTTAAGTGCCCATTACAAAAAATAGAGAAAAAGAATGATTTGTTAAACGTAACACCCAAAAACCGGAATTCTTACCGGTAAGAAATTTCATCACCACTCCTCCATTCAATTAATCAAGTAGATAAATGTACCAAGATAAAATTAAAACAAATTAGGACTATTGACCAAAAATATGAACTCAAACATTCCATCTAAGGTCATCTACCTTGATTTCTCCAGGCGTTTGATGGTGGGTCTCATAGACTTTTAATTTATAATCTATACGGGCTTGATATCGATGATACTTTCCTCAAATCATCATAATCTGACAGTTTTAAAGTCAAGGTTGATCGAGCATATTCTAATTGCTACCAGTGATTAGTGGAGTTGCGCAAGGATCGGTCCTGGGTTCCATTCTATTCGCCATCTATTCGTTATTCATAGTGATATAAATGACAAAATTCATCGTGAAATCAGTACTTTTACAGTTTAGAGTTGATGATGGGTTTTGAACCGCTGTTGAACATGGTCATTTACTGGGTCAGGAACTGTTCCTCACTGAAGATGGCGCAATGCGTTTGAATATCTAAAAAAACCTCGAGTGGTGTGGTAATAAGGATACTATAAGCGGAGTTTGTGCTCCACGGGCCCTGCAGCCTTTTCGCTTACTGTATTTTTCTAGTTTCTTACTTCATTGTGTAATGAAACGTGCTGTTGTATATTAAAATAAGATTTTCGAAACTTTTCTTTTTAATTGAATCTTATCTTCTGTCCAAAAATAAACATCTATCATGCTGGAGTTATATATTTTAATTTAAAAAAATTATTCCTTGTTCTTGAGAAGTTATATAATGAATTCTATAAGAAGACAAGATTCTTTGAATTCTTAAAAAAAAAAAAAAAAAACAAAGGTACGTGTGCAATGAGCAAAAACTATGTACATAAATGCTTGCTATACTATAAATAGTATCCTTTTGAATATCTTATATTAATTTAATTAGGGAAAGATTACAAATTAAAGTTGATGTTATGGTATGGTATGATGGAAAGGGTACTAGGAAGCGGGGTTTGTATTCCCCAGGCACTGCAGCCTTCTGGCTTATTGTACCTTCCTAGTTCCTTAGTTCAGTCAATAGAGTCAATCCTTCTTCTTAGAAGTATCAGGTCATTGACTGTTGTTGCTGCAGTTTGATTCTCTAAGTCTTTTCCGTACGTTAGGTTAAACCTCCATTGAGCCGTTGCTTCGCATTCGAAGATGATATGAGTGGCTGTTTCCTCCTCCTCATTACATAATCTGCAGATGGGATCATCATTGTATATACACCCTTGTTGTGTAGAATTTTTCTCAGATACCAGTAACCGGTTAATAGTCCCATCACTCCTCTGAGTTTGGCCCTCTCCAATTACAGCAGTGTTTTTGCCAGTCTCGGTGAGGGTTGTTTCATCTTAAGTTTACTATGTCTAGCACTGCTAGAGTTTATCCACTTCTCTTTTTTTTTTCTTGGATCCATTCTGTGATGGAGGATTCTGTGTTTGTTTTTATTATCCCAAGGAGCCTATGGTCTTGCAGATCCTCCTCTGGCCAGTTTGTCTGCTTCCTCGTTACCCAAAATTCCCCTGTGTCCTGGCACCCAAGATATCATCAGGTTGTTGTGTTTTCCCAGGTTTTGGAGATTTTGGATGCATTCACTGACTAGTTTTGATGTAATTCTTTTACATGCTAATGCTTTAATGGCTGCTTGGCTGTCTGATCTTATGAGGATTTTTTTGTCAGTGTAACCTCTTCTAAGATTTTCCAGGGCACAAACATTGATGGCATGTATTTCCGCTTGAAAGACCGAAGTGTACTTCTGTAATGAGTTTGATTGCTCATATTTTGGGCTTGTACAGAAAATGCCTGATCCGGTTCCTTCGTTTGTTTTGGAGCCATCTGTGTACCATATCATTGTAGCTGATGCTCTCCTGTGTTCTTCCTCTCCTTTATAGTCTGTTGAGACTTTATAGGAAGTTGTGAAAATTGTTTTCGGGATTGATGGTTGATAATTGTATTGTATAATTGTATGTAAGTTGGTAATTCTTGCCTCGCTATGCTGTAAATTGAAGAAAACTGGTTTTGAGCTCGAGGAAATACTATTCTTGAATATTGGTCTCCGATGTGTGAAAGAGTCCTCTTGTATGACCCTGAAGCCAAGGATGTCTGATTAAGTGCAGATAATCAGCTCCCAAAAAAAGTCCTGTCTTCACCCAGTACCGTTCATAACTCTCTTTGTCCTCTCACCCTCTCTCTTCGGGCCAGCGCCACAATGTATTTGTTATAATTGCAATTGATTCAATCGTCTCAAGATCATCTACCTTGATTTCTCCAGGCATTTGATTGTGAGTCTCACAGACTGTTAATTTACACACTATACATGCTTGGGATCCATGGTACTTTCCTAAATTTCTTGAAATCATACCTGATCATCATAGTCTGACAATTTTAAAGTCAAGATTGATCAAGCAAATTTTAATTTTACAATGCGTTTGAATAACAAAAAAAAAAACAACTTGAGTGGTATGGTAATGAGGATACTATAAGCGGAGTTTGTCCTCCACGGACCCTGCAGCCTTTTCGCTTACTGTACTTTTCTAGTTTCCTACTTTACTGCAATTGATTGAATCGTCTCAAGATCTTCTACCTTGATTTCTCCGAGCGTTTGATCATGAGTCTCACAGACTTTTAATTTACAAACTATATGTGCTTGGGATCCATGGTACATTCCTAAAATCATCATAATCTGACAGTTTTACAGTCAAGGTTGATCGAGCATATTCTAATTCCTACACAGTGATTAGTGGAGTTCCGCAAGGATTGGTCCTGGGTTCCATTCTATTCGTCATTTATATCAATGATGTAAATGACAAAATTCATTGTGAAATCAGTACTTTTACAGATTAGAGTTGGTGATGGGTTTTGAACCACTGTTGAACATGGTCACTTACTGGGTCAAGAATTGTTCCTCACTGAAGATGCGTGAAACACGTTTGAATAACTTTAAAAAAAAAACTTGAGAGGTATGGTAATGAGGATACTAGGAAACGGAGTTTGTGCTCCACAGGCCCTGCAGCCTTCTGGCTTACTGTACTTTTCTAGTTTCCTACTTTACTGCAATTGATTCAAACGTCTCAAGATCATCTACCTTCATTTCTCCAAGCGTTTGATCATGAGTCTCACAGACGTTTAATTTACAAACTATACATGCTTGGGATCCATGGTACTCTCCTAAATTTCTTGAAATCATACCAGATCAACATTTATATAGAGATTTAAAGTCAAGGTTGATCAAGCATATTTTAATTTCTACCCAGTGATTAGTGGAGTTCTGCAAGGATCGGTACTAGGTTCCATTCTATTCGTTATTTATATCAGTAAAAAATGCACAATTCACTGTGAAATCAGTACTTTTACAGATTAGAGTTGATGATGGGTTTTGAACTGATGTTGAACATGGTCACTTACTGGGTCAGGAACTGTTCCTGACTGAAAATGGCGCAATGCCGAAACGCGTTTGAATAAAAAAAAAAAAAAAAAAAGAGGATACAAGGAAGTGGGGTTTGAGCTCCCCAGGCCCTGCAGCCTTCTGGCTTACTGTACCTTTTTAGTTCCTGGTTCAGTGCAATTGACTCAATCCTTCTTCTTAGAAGTATTAGGTCATTGACTTTCATTGCTACAATTTCATTTCCTACATTTTTTTTTTTTTTGTATTTTAGGTTAAATCTCCATTGAGATGTTGCTTTGCATCCGAAGATGATATGGGTGGCTGTTGTCCTACAACTCCTCTGAGTCTAGCCCTCTCCATTTGCAGCAGTGATTTTGCCACGCTTGGTGAGGGTTGTTTTAATGTAAGCTTATTGTGTCTAACGCTGCTAGGGTTTATCCAGTTCTTTTGTTTTGTATGATCCATTCTGTGATGGAGGATTCTATATTTGTTTTTGTATAGGTTCGGGGCCTATGTATGGTCTTGCAGATCCTCCTCTGGCCAGTTGGTCTGCTTTCTCGTTACCCAAAATTCCTCTGTCCCCTGTCACTCAAGATATTATCAGGTGTCAAAATAATCCTGACTTTCCAACTCAATTTCAGGACATTTGAATGCGCCAAACGAATGAACCCTGGGACAGCTGAGGCAAAAATATTTAGGAAAATATTTTAATATTTAGCACATCTTATAGATTTTTAGTACAACATTTTAATTTAAGAAAGTATTAATGATTATTGCTGGTGCAAGTGCATGGAATGGTCTTTCTCGGTGCTCTCCCTTGTGCTTTAAGGGCTGCAGTTAATTATGAAGTTTCAGTCCTTAATTCTTCCATTCCTTTTACATTTTATTTATAAATTGTAACAAATACCTATACTATTTTACATCAAATTCTTATAATTTTCCACCATTATCTTATAATTTTATTTTTCTCATTGTGAATTATATGCAAGTTAACTTTTAAATATCTCTATATTTTACTTGATTTGTGTTTTATTTTTCAATGCTCATGTCCTTATACATATATACAATAGATAGGTAGTCAGTAGTATTAGGTCTCTTTGGTATTTATTTAAATGTCGTATTACATTAGTATCAATGTATTTTTAAGTTCAAGGTTATTAAAAAGAGAAAGTCTTTCTTTAAGAGAATGCCATGATAAACAAATAGTGCATGAGTAAAAAAAATCGTAGTATCACGTTGAGTAATTGAGTAGGATTGATGAAGGGCGTGTTATGATTGGAGGGGAGAGACTGCGAAGTGCGATCGCACTGCTGTACGTTGTCGGCCGATAACAACGCTGTAATATATTACATCTGCGTCCATAGTATTACGGTATTACAGATACGTGGGATAAAAGGTTACCCCGTATACCCTTCCCCTTTTATCGATTCTACGGTAGCCCGCACTGTATCGAGTGAGATTTTAACCAAAGGCTTTACGTCTCGTTCTGGCGATTTAATCCCGGTCCATCGTATCGTCGGCCGGCGGGGTTCTCGTATCGAGAAAAAAAGTCCGGGGAAAAGTGTCCGTATCGACGTTTAGTTTTATTTTTGGGGTTTTAGTGACGGATCACCTGTCGAAACGGTGTTAAAGGCGTTCGCTCGCTCTGTTCTTTTTGTTGTTTTTTAACTGTTGATGTTATAATTTTTCAAAACAATCGCCGACACTTTTTTTCAACAATTTCTATCGTAGACGCTTTCTGTTGTAACCGACAAAAGAAGATGAAAACACGAGATAACTGAGGTATGTCGCCTTTTCCCCTCTGTAATAACTTATCGGGTTATGTTTCAATGTCTTTATTAACCTTTCAATACTGTTCTGTTGTCAGTACGTACTGTAATGAAGTACCGCTCTTAAAAAAAATAAACCTTTTCCTTTAATAAAATATCTTTTTTAACTTTAATACTCAATCTAATTATCTTAAAAAAAGCAGAAACAAAAAACAAACAAGTCCGATCAAAGTATTTTTTTAAGCCTTATTTTTTAGGTTTTTTTTACACTTGATAAAGATCCAACGCAGTATTATAAAAACAGATCAGCATTTTGAGATACAAAGTTAATAACTAATAATTTATAATAAAAATCGAATCGATCGAGCTCGGCGTACAAGCGGTGATTTCCGAATCGGCCGATTTGCGTTATAGACAATACTGGTCGATCTACTGTTTCGTAATAGAAAGAATATAACAAAAGGCCTGGAATTGAGTACATGTTGCATGTATTGACCGCAGATCGAGTCGGTACGGTCGCTGTAATATTATTACGCCGTTACTGTGCTGTTATCAGACCCCCCTCCCCACTTCTCATTTGTCCATGAACTCATGAATATTGCTCATGGTACTTCGTAGATCGTATTGATCATTTTTAAATTTAGCATAATTAATTTTTTTTGTCTCAAACACTTAATTGTACGCAATAAAAACGATGATAAAAAATTACATTTTTTAATTATTATATTTAAAAAAACTTCAGTTTATGTAACAACACTATTATTATTTTTTTATTTTTAATTACAGGGGCATCTGACATCTAGGGTCCTTTCAGCCCCAATCACATGCAAAATATAACAACACACATTTAATACGTATTCACACAAATAAATACATTCACACCTATGTACATTGTGCTCATTCTGTTTAGTAGATGGAGTACTCAATATTCCTCCATCAACCTGCACACAATAACAAACATATCTAATTGGGGTCGAGGGGGTATTTTTATAAATATTGCGCCTTTGACCCAAGTCACACGTCGATTGAGGGGCGATGGAGTTGCTATTCCACATTAATATATAGTCTCACTTATACAAAACAGAACCACAAAAAAAAAATTCTTTAATTTAAGTTAATTATTCATTTTATTAGTATCGCATAAATTGCACAATATGAAAATAAGGTACCATACTTGGCCGATGACCAATTAGGCTTGACTTGATTTACCCCCTGATTGGTTGTCCGATGCTAGAAAATAAACAAATTGATACATTAAAATGTCAACTCTTTTAACATAAAATAAACCAAGACAATTTATAGATAAAGAGTAAAATCTGCACCCTATATTAAAATGAAATACCATACTTGGCCAATGACCAATTAGCCTTGACTTGATTTACCGTCTGATTGGTTGTCCGATGCTAGAAAAAAAAATGATACATTAAACTGTCAACTTCTTTAACATAAAATAAATAAAGACAATTTATAGATAAAGAGTAGAATCTGCACCCTATATTAAAATGAAATACCATACTTGGCCAATGACCAATTAGCCTTGACTTGATTTACCGTCTGATTGGTTGTCTGATGCTAGAAAAAAATGATACATTAAACTGTCAACTCTTTTAACATAAAATAAACCAAGACAATTTATAGATAAAGAGTAAAATCTGCATTCCCAATTTGAAAATGAAATACCATTCTTGGCCGATGACTGAACAGGCATGGTTTGATTTAGTGATATTATTTATTGGCTGTCCGATGCTACGCTGATGGACAAATTAATGCACCACTCAATTTGTTTAGTTTAAAATTAAATCTATGATCCTGTTTACACGAAAATTAAAAATATGCCATTCCATTCTGCTACCCATAAAGATTGCTTTAAGTTAATCTTTCCCCTTCATTGATTTCAGTTGATATTATTCTTATTTTTAAACTTTTTAATGGCTCGTCAGACATTTGAGCGATTATGACAGTGTCAGAGTCATAATATTATTAGAGGAAGGATACAGCCAGTGAAGTCGCCAGGATTGTGTAAATCACTCTACAATAGGAAGGGTTCTTCGGCACTTCAGAAAAACAGGGCTTTACACTAGAAGGCCAGTACAGGGTCGACCTATGTGTACAATAGAGACGTTCATCCGTCATCAGGTTTTATGAAACCGCATCATTACGGAAAATGAGCTAAAAAATCTGATGACAAGACCAAAATGTTTTAATTTCCTTCTGTACTGTAAGAAGAAGGCTCAATGAAAATAACCTCAGGCTCGGCACCCGGTTCGTGGACTTCTTCTTAACACAGCTCAGAAATTGGCCAGACTTTAATTCGCATGGGAATATGTGAATTGTACGTTGGAAGATTGGGGACGAGTTCTCTTTACAGATGATGTGAGAGTTTGCCTCAAATCTTCAGATGGGTGTAATTTTATTAGGAGATGCTCATGAGGAAGGTACGCCCCATGCTGTACATTTCTTCAAGTGGGAATCACACGGGACATTGATATTCTGGGGCGACATTTCCTTGGACATCCGCACCAAAAATGTAGTGCCATTTGTCCCCCCCTCCTATATCAGTGAGATTGTTGATAATGCAGAATATTGCCAGGCCCCATAGAGCACATATTGTGGATGACTACCTCAATGAGATTGAAATTGAGTGCTTGTTGTAGCCAGCTCGAAGTCCAAATTTGAACCCAATCGGGCACATTTGTGAACCAACTTAAGCAATGAGTACGATGGTGAAACCCAAGTATTAATACACTAGACTAGTTGGAAATGATTGTTCTTAATGAATGGGAAAGAATTCCTCAGGATTTTCTAAAAAATATTTTCAAAGGCATTTAACAGATTTGTGCCAGAGGTGGAAATACTCTAGGTACTAAAAGGTACAAAAATGTTTCATTTTTGTTTTTGAATTTTTTTTCTCAAATAAATATTTTTTAAAAAAAATTATGGATCAGGGATGATCTAATAGATTGGGATGTATGGCTTTACCCAACAAAATGTCGAAATAAAAAAAATTGTAGTAACAAAGCATATTTTACTTCCAGTATAAAGCCCATACTGACAGTAGATAGATGAAGTTCAGTTATGTAATAACATGTGAAAAGAGCAAAATAAAAATGATTGGTGTCTAGTGACCATTAATCAGTGACTATTTGGAGATCGTGAGATGCAGTCTGGTGTGACGTAGGTTTTAGAAAAACATTTTCTCTATCGTGCCAACGTTTCGATCTTTAATGAGATCATCTTCAAGGCTCAAAATGTTTGTTTTCTGTGTAGATGTGTCATTGTGTGTCGTGTTAAGAATGCCAGTTATGATTTTGGAACCAGAGTGGCACTCTCAACACGACACACAATGACACATCTACACAGAAAACAAACACTTTGAGCCCTGATCTCAATAAAGATCGAAACGTTGGCATGATAAAGAAAATGTTTTTCTAAAACCTACGTCACACCAGACTGCATCTCACAATCTCACAAATAATCATAAAAACTATAAACAAGTCGAAGGTTGTGAGTTCAAATCCCTCTTGTGACTTTTTTCATTTCAACCAAGACCTTAATTAAAAAAATAAATAATTGAAAGAAGTAATTTATTCACACAGATCTGGTCATTGCGTAACATATAAAATGTAATAAAACATGTGACAGTAGGTTAGTAGGAGTTGAAGAAAAACAGATTTTTCTTTAATTATACTAGGTTATTATGGTCTATGTTGTCTTTGCATTTAGTATGTCAAACAAATGGATTTTTATTAAAATGTTAACACTATTAAAAAAAATTAAGTATTTTTATTCGGAAGTATTTATCATTAATATAGTCTGTTATCTCTTCATCAATTTACATTGATCTTGGTTTAAATTGATTTTCAGTCTCATTTGAATTTTTATTATTATATTGCTTTGCTTTAAACATACAGCAATAGTGCAGTCATATACACACTATATAATAAATACATAAGTACAGATCACATAATAAATAAATAAATTAAAACTAGGAACAGAGAACAATGAAATAAATAATTTCACACATAAGTAAATATTTACCATAACACACATGTACAACGACTGAAGTCTATCACAGTATCACACATCAATTCTTTCAAAAATGTATATATCGATTTATACATTTTCAATTGAAAGCAAGCTTTCCCAGCAAAACGGTTGCTCAAAATTTCTCAGCGTGTACCCTTGTCAAAAAATTTGTCTTGCCTCTTAACGTAGGCTCTAGGCACGTCAGAATTATATATTTTGTTTTCAAGTTCATCGCATGCCTCGCAGTTTGGAGTAGCTCTACAGTTAAATTTATGCATGTATGCACCTCAGATTTTACATTAAAATAATATATTTTTATAATCTTGATTACACTAATTATATATTTTTATATTAAATCAAAATTTCTTAAAATAATGCACAAGTATCTTGGAGTTAGTTGCTTTTACACCTTGTCTGTCCTTCCAGTACCATTTGAAGCAGGTGTTGTCTACAGCTAAGATCGGATTTAACAGAATTTGGGCTGGCTGAAATCCATCAACAGTATGATGTAGTTGAGAAATTTCTGAAATTTTTTATCAAAAAGATTTTCATCTAATCCTCCTCAACTCATAGTTTATGTTGTATTGAGAACATCAGTTTTGACGGTATCTACACTGAGGCTTTACTTACGTCTCCCTGATACCTGGCCTTCAAAATCAAACATATACCAAAAATCATTAAATCTCACTAACACTCTCAACACAACCCACAATAGTGACACATCTACACAGAAAACATACACTTTGAAGGAGTACAAATACTTTAATTAAACCTAAAATTTCTATATTGTGTACATCATTATATAAATTCATCGTCATATCTTACATGTATTTGTATAATTTAAACAATGTTTATAAATCCCAGGCCATGATAATGATCTCAATAAAGAGCGAAACGTTGGCATGATAAAGAAAATGTTTTTCTAAACCTACATTACACCAGACCACAAATGATATCTAAATAATCATTAATTAATTGTCATTAAATATTACACATAAAAATTAATAATATCTCTGAATGGAAACATAGTCTTGATTCTTGAAAAGATCAATGTACATCATCAGGAGGAGTCTGTGTGACTTTTGACATCAACTTGATTTTGCTTTATAGGCATCTCAATCATAGTTCCTACTGCCAATTGTCTGATTCTAATCAGCACCTAAATTTGGATTTGTTGTGAGTTTTTAAAATGAGGTGTGAGCTACTTTGGCTAAATTACACACCCTGGATGGAGTGTCCTCCGCCCTGTGCTCTCTATGTACCATCATTTAGCAGAATGCTAATTTAAAAAAAAAAATGTGTATGCTCCTCCTAAGCTGTATTTCCCAGACCAGAGATGGGCTAAACTCTGAACTGTCGCCAAAGAACTAAACACTTAATTTTTGTACAATTTGATTTCAATTTTTGATTATTTATGGAACAGACTAGGTTCTCCTGGAATTATTATTGGTTTAGGAGTTTGTAGAAGCTTTGAGTAGATATCAGCCCCTAAGTCAACTTTGGAAGGTATATAAAACTCATCATCAGCAAGGGAAAAAATTCGAAATTTATCTTTCAGCTCTGATACTGGTAAACTGGGTAACGACTGGACAATAGTCGTCAACACTATCGGATTTAACTGGAAAGAATGCGAATCATATCGCGAGGCAATAACACAACCGCACCACACACTTTCACCCGATCAATAGAAATACCAATTATTTTGCAATCAGCTTTTAACATGTTGAAATCCCAGTTTTTGAACTAATGACGAAGTTATCGGAGAAACCTGAGAGCCAGAGTCCAACTCAGCTCTCGCTGACTGGAATTGGCCACACGAATCTTGGATCAAAACTTTGGCGGTACTTAACAAGACTAATTTGGGTTTTACTGTAGTCTCAGAAACCTTAGATATACGAAGAGTAGACGGTGTTTCAATTACAGAAGAAAATAGGGCAGTGCAGGTTGCATTTATATTATTTTATTTTTTTGCTTTACTTTCCTGTTTTTAATTTTTTTCTCCTTTCACTTTTTGTATTGTTCTTTCTTTCTTTATTTTTTATTTATTTATGTGGTTACCTCCAACAGATGGAATTTTCTGTGCATTCCAGTGCTTATTGTGTAGTTATTTTATTTTATATTACTTTATTACAACAAATAAAGTTCTATTATTATTATTATTATTATTAATTTTTAAGGGCGTTTTAACGGCTAAGATCATTTCACGCCCTAACATCCAAACGTTCTATCTTAGGTTAGCTATAAAGCCCTGACTCCAAACATTCACTCGTAAACTAATTTATCCTATTGCCATCCAAGCTTTAATTTTTCTTTTTTTTCCTTTTAAAATTCTTAATTTGGAAGGCCAAATGTATGCAAAAATCCCATTTTAAATTACATATAAAATTTATTTGTTTCTTTTTTGATTAGAATTGTGAATTTTTGTCCCATAATTTAAAAATTTCCTATAGGCTTGTATGACTAATAATAATAATAATAATAATGGAGTCAGACTAGCAACAGTCTCAGCATGAGTATAGGCTCATCCTTATCCTTTTATTCTTCCATTCAAATATGATACATAAACTAATTCTACATAACAATAATAAGAAACAAAACACAATAACACTTTTTTTTTTTTTTTTGAGGGAGCTATTTTTCTTATTTAAATTGCGATTTTAGGCATTGCAATTCATTACCCTGCAATTTGTATTTTCTTCCATTTCATTTTTCCGCTCCGGCAGCCTCAAAAACTTTTGAAAAAAGAAATCTTGCAACTCTCATTCAAACATTAGCAGGCATTCAATGGTATAACAATTAGGGAAAAGGCCTAAATCTCATTATAAATTTCAATAAATTTGAGAAAGCTGAAAAGTGCTCTTTGAAAGAAACACTGGGGACCCAGTAACTCCTGTAAATCACTCGAAAGGTTGAGCCTTTGCCTAAAGGGTTGTAAAGTGGGACAGTCGACCAAAATATGTTTTACTGTGCGTTCTCCACTTCGCATACATCGAGGACAAATTGGAAGGTTGTTGCCTATTAAAAGCCTATTATGGATTAGCCTGATGTGACCTATTCGCAATCTAGAGAGAATCACAAGTTCTTTTCTCTCTAGTTCCTCAGTTGGCCATTTATGCACAACTGGCTTAATTTCTTTCATACTATCTCTACTGATATTCCATCTTGCCGCCCACTTTCGTTTGATAATGTTTTTAACATAAACGACTATATCATCTGGACGGAGAGGAAATTGATCTGTTCTTTGTGGATCGGCGTTCCTTGCCTGTTGATCAGCTTTTTCATTTCCAGAAATGCCGACATGACTAGGAACCCAAACAAATACCACATGTTTGTTGATTGTTCTGATTTCATAGAGATATTTGTGAATTTCTAAGATGTAAGGGTCAACCGAGAAATTATTGCTTCGAGACCACTTTTCAAATCAGAGCAAATAATGGCATTACAAATTCCTGGCGATTCCTTTATATATTATTATTATTATTAAAATAATGTACAACTTAGACCTGTAACCACATTAGATGACAATTTCTATTAAATTTGATGTCAAAATGAGATCATTTATATATTAATTAAAGTAGATTGTGTTTTGTATTTTGGCTACTACATCCAAACTACTAAAAAATTAACTTTTTTGGCTTTTAAGTTCATCCTTATTCTTTCTTTTTTTCTCAACGTGACAAATAGTTCTTTTCCCCCATTTTGTTTGTCTTTCCACAGTTCGGTATAAAGAAAATTAACTTGTTTTTTGCCAACTAGTTCTGATTTATCATAACATTCTCAAGACTCAATTCACTATGATTACTGATTTAATTTAATTAAATTCGTTATCAAAAAGGTTTGATTTTAATCTTGCTTTCAACTACAATTTGTACACCTGATAAAACCTTTTGTTTTTGTTTGTCAAAATGTACCTTAATATCAGTTTATGAACCTGGGAAGTTAAGGCGGACAGACTCAAAATTATTACTGAAAATATTTTATTAAAGCTGTATTAACATTAAAGTATATATTATCTAAAGGTACATTATTGTGTGAAAGGGAAAGGGTTTTTGATTATTAAAGACGGATCATCAGGGAGGATAATCTCCCTCCTGCTATTCACAAACATTGTTTTGTTTCCTCCATTGGTATTGTTATTCTTAATTTTGACAAAAGAATAGAATATTTTCATTATAACGAAATATACTACTTCTACCGCGCTCAGGAAGCTGAAGCCTAAGAAAAGCCCAAGAAGTCCTCCGGTGTTGGCTGGAAATTAATTTGATCGAGATTTTATTTTGTTTACATAATAAAAACATGATCGGAGGATATTTACATAAAAATTCCGTGAAGCCGAACAGCACACCGCGTACAGTGCTTGTAAATTGTATCTCCATGTAAAAGAAGTGGATTATTGCCATGTTAGTTCTGGAATAAAATATTGATTGGAAGGTTAACGGGTCGTAAAATGGACCAATTGCCCCATTTTCTTCTCGCCCTTGCCCACTTACTTGAAATAGGACTCATTGAAGTCCCTGTAATACTCTTTGTTTATCTCGAGTGAACTTGATATCGGACTTTGTGTGACGACAAATCCATATGAGACTTCGTTGCAAGCCGGTTTGCAGTCGCACAGGGCCAAATCTTTGTTTGAATTTGCAGTAAAGTTGAGAATCGCATCGTCAAGACTCATCTCCATTTTCTCTGGAATTTATTTTTTTTACATCGATTACTATTTAAAATATAAGAAGAGGTGGCAAAATTGGATAAAGATTTTTTTTACTTTGAGCATCTTTTGCACAGGGGGTGTCGTCTCTACCACAAATCCTCGTTTTTGTGTCTTCTACAATTTTAAAAATATTATCAGTCACTAACTTTAAAACAGGCTACTTGATCCGTACTTGGCATGTAGTGAAGCACACAGTTGCAAAATGCCAGGGTGAAATTTGCCTCGCACTCCAATATGCAACTCCTCTGGTTGTACGTCTTGTAAAAATAAAGGGATTTTTCGTTTTCAAAATAACACATCCTCTTCGCAACTGATATACTCCTCAACTGATTTGTCGCCGTGACAAGTTTGGGAACGATAACAACTTTCGTCTCTCTGCTCGGTGCGATCGACATCGCGTACGAAGACACTTTCGGAGTTTCAAGCGGATTATTAAGAAGTATCTGCAAATTTATACATTTTATTCGACAATAATTAATTTTGAGTTATTACTTCTTAGCAAAATAATTAATTATTGGGGAAAAAATGGATAATGGGATTATTTTATACAATCTCTTCAGTTTGTTTTAATTCTAAATACATTTTTGATTTTTTTTTTAATTTAAAAAGTCCACAGGTAATAAAATAGTCCACCAGAGTAAACTCTTTGATAATGTGCGATCAAATTTTGAATTTTTTTATATGGAATGTATCATCCCTGATAGGTTTAGTCGATCTGTTTTGAGACCTTTGGTCGTCTTAAATGCGCCTCTCCTAAACAGCGAGAATCGGCGGACCAAAGTGACCAGTGTCTATCAAAACGTATTGAATCAGCCCAAAAATAAAATTGCATTTCGTTTAAAATAAGTTTTAATCCACTTCTTTAATAAATCCCTGCATATGATTGTCATAGTGTGAGTGTATTAATTTTTAATTTTTTGAAGAGCTCTATCGATTATGATGCTCGAAATATCGTCAGATTGTCCACGTGCAAACGATTTCCAGACATGAAATGATCTAAATTGTCTGAAATTAACTTCCGCGCTTGTATTAAATTTTTTCGAACTTATCACAAAGTATCGTTTAATGAACCCCCATGACAACGTAAAAATACAGCTATCATTAAATCCAAAAAACATTCAAGCATGGGTACATTTGACATTACCAATGTCATAATATTCAAAAGTTTTTTTTGAAAAATTGTATGACGTGCCTGTTACAATTTAGTTTTGATGAGATACTACTAACAACTATAAAAATGGGAAAAAAAAGGTTTTACCTTGAAGCCCTCACCGTTTTCTGAAGAGCAGAAGTACCTATCTAATTCTGCATTGACGACAACGGTTAATCCCAGGTGGGTTCCGGAACCTCTTGGCCTCCTGGGGATGCTGTCAGGGTTCACTTGACTCGGGAAAGCCTTTTCCGGCGACCAATCGTACGCATCTTCAGGAAACGTTACATTGAGGTCTGATAAATTCCTCCTATAAAATTAATTCGACAATTGACCATGAGAGGAAATTCTCCAGAAAATGGTTAAATTTCGCTTTTCGTTTTTTTATTGTAATTTCTTCTCTTACGGATTCTTGAATATGTGCTCTCGTTTGAGCCTGTTGAAGACGCAGCACATGCCTTCGTCGGTCAGATTCGGGTTGAAGAGCTCTTCACAGCTTGTCCTGTCACCGTGCCAAGTGCAGTGGACCAAAAGTTCATGGCAAGGTTGGGTCATCTAATATTAAAATGTTTTTTAAAACTTTTTTTATGTAAAACTAAGCTTTTGATTTACAATTAATTAAGGTTTTTAGTTGAGATAAAAAGTCAATGGCACGAGCGGGATTCGAACCCACGATCTTCGGCTTGATACGCCGCTGCTCTACCACTTGAGCTATCGTGACCTCGATCCACTCGGATACCAACTTCCCATCTCAACCACACCTTTGAATTTTCCCTCCTTTTTGCCATTTTTCATTTGGAGTCCGAGTGGATCGAGGTCACGATAGCTCAAGTGGTAGAGCAGCGGCGTATCAAGCCGAAGATCGTGGGTTCGAATCCCGCTCGTGCCATTGACTTTTTTATCTCAACTAAAAACCTTAATTAATTGTATGATATTAATTGGTCAAGCGGACCACGAAACTAGTGAATTTAATAACTTTTGATTTACCTTGGTCATGAATTTTTTAATATATTCAAAATTGCTGGATATGTTTGCCATTTTGACCTGCGACGGTTTGTCGTTCGGCGGCGGTTCTCTGCTGCAGAAGTCGAATATCAGCTTCCTATCAAGTTGAGCTTCTTTGTCATTGATGTTTAATTTGTACCTGATCGAGAAATAAAATCCGATAAGATATTAGAAAAACAAAAACATCCTGTGAAATTAACTCACGCTTCGAATACTTTCTCCGTCTGATCTTTCCGCATGTTGTTCATGTTGCAGATTGTGATGGCCGGGAAAGGTATGTCTTTTATCGAGCTGGGCATTGGCGAAAGCGATGTTATTACCGGCATTTGCTCAAATTTGTCGAAAAGGTTCGTTATAAAATAAATCGAAGCTGAGACAGCGGCGAAGAAAGCGAAAACCCAAAAATATCTGAAATTGAACCATACAAACAAGGTCGAATTCTTAAGGAAAGGAGGGATCTATAAACAACAACCGATCTTTTAGGTGAGTGCTTTTATATCTATAAACTATTTTAACTTTATTAAACAGTAGTTTTTAATTTTTTAAAATTAATCCACCAATGCTAATCAATAAAAACAAATCTTAAGGCGAACATAGAAGAATAGTCATATATCAATCAATTCATTAATTTATAAATTGAATTTTTAAACATTTAACATACTAGTTTTGCCCGTCATATCGACATAAATCTTGTAAAACACGCTGATATGCCACCGTCGGAAGATAATTTTTTATTGTGTGTTTCAGAATGAAAATTTAATCAAATTTGGTTTGTAATCGTTTCTAAAAGTAATTTGGCTGATGTTATTTTCGCATTTGCACAACATAAAATTACTATTGATCAATTTTAGACTGACAGTTGAAACTGACTGATGAATTGCCCTTTTCAATATTTACGCTTTTTATTTTAGATATTAAAAATCGACTGTCCCGATAGAACAAAATTAATCGTTTATTATAATATTTCGCAATAAACTTAGAAAAAAAAATCATCAATATATTTTTAAGAAAGGTGTATTTTTTCTCTCGAAATTTCAAAGTTTTAATATGTATTTATGTATAATTTCTTCTCTTAAAAGACTTTCCTGCCGTTTAAAAACTTACATAAAAATTATTGTGTGGATATTTGCTTGATCGACCAGGATAAATTTTGTGGGATTGGGATGGAGCTTTTGGCTCGAACTGCTCCATGGTCGAGCCCGTGGTTGGATCAAACCATACAATAAAACTATACACGTACAAGGATTGCCGTTGTATACCGAGGAAATAGGACTTAGTAAATAGAACTGTAAGGGTATTTCCTGTATGACAACCCAACCGCTTCATATTTCTTGGCGACAAGGCAAAAAGCTATTACCTCACATCTCACACATTCGCCTGAAATAGATGCCTTAAGATTGCTATCTAGGATATTTAAACCGACGGGAAATTCGAAAAAAATAAAGAAAAAAGTGAAAGAAAAGAAGTGAAGAACTCAGAGTGGTTAAAGCCTTTGGGAGGATTTAATAATAAGATTGATAAGTCAGCCAACTCAATTGTTAAATAAAATCTAGCAAATTTGAGACATAGAACATACATTACATTTTTATAGTATTCACTGTAATTTTTCCTCCTTTATTTGATCATATTTTGACAACCTCGATTGTTTTAAATTTTATTTTTTTTTTTCAATTATTAAGTTGTGGTAATTTTTTATTTTTTTCACGGAATAATTGCAAATGTAAAATTTTGTCTGTCCTATAATTTGACGCAAATTAAATTTTTTTTAAATGTAAAAATGTACATGGTACAAATGAAACATTGAAGGGGGGATTTGAGATGGCCGAGTTGATGAACGTACGTCGTATTCGTCACGGTAGCGGTTGTAGGTTCGAATCCCGGCATAGCACATGGATTTTTAATTGACGGATGGTTGGACTTCAAGCACATGTTACGGTAGACAGTGAATTTTGGCAGTTTTTCAGCGAGTCGGTGAACTCATGCCGAGGGGCATTGGGTCCCTTGAAGGGTCCGTGTTTACTCGCGTGTTAGTTGAACTGCTCATACCGGCGAATGAAGACTTAATGTAACCCAATGCCAGTTCAGCATGAGTTCATTAAAATCTGCCGGGTATTTTTTTTTTATACGCACAAATTTTGTATTAGTTCGGTTATTTTTTATGTATAGGTGCTTTTTTAAAATGGTTTTATTGTTTCGTCTGCCTACTTGATTTTGTGACAAAACATGGCCAAAGAGGATTGATTTAAATTGGTAAAATTCAGCCAGTCTGATTAGCAAGTTATAAAAATTTGTTATTTCCTAACACAGGACTATTTACTTTCCTCACCAGGGAGCTTAGTTGTCTTAGAAGATTATTGGGAAGGGTTCGAGATGCTGGGGTTGGAATGGGGGTTTTATGGAAGCGTCTGTACCGATGTCTTTTTGGTTTCGAGGACAAATGGGATTTGAAGGTCTGTATAGTAAGGTACGATCGAAGGAGAAAGCTTGGGCAATGGTTCGAACCATTTTGGACTGGAGCGACTTGATTCTTTGGAGGTTGGCTTGGTTGAATCCCACAGTTAAATTCCGTTTGATTGTAGAAGTGTAGTAAAGGAGGCGTTTTGTTGTAAGTAGACTTTTTGAGTAGTTTATATCGTCTGTTCAGCACTATTCCTTGAGTGTAAGGATTCCAGGTCTTTAGTAGATGTCCCAAATAGTGAAAGAGGATCAAGTTGTATTGTAGCAGGCTCGAGGATTCCCTCCATTTCTCGAACCATTATTCGAAACTCGAGAGAGAGATGATCCAGGAGGTTTCTGAGGAGTTCCTAGAGGTTTTATTACGTTAGAGTCGATCTGTCCTCAATTAAACTTTTTGAGTTGTTTATATCGCGTTCAGTACTATTTTTTTGAGTTAAGTGTAAGGGTTGCAGTCTTTTTTCGATGTCCCAAATAGTGGAAGAAATTGGTTGATGGGAGAGGAGCAGAGTTGTATTAGAATAGACGAAAGGTGATGAAGGTTATTAATGTCCGAACCTCCATTTCTCGAACCATTTTCCAAACACGAGAGACGGTCCTGGAGGTTTCTGGAGGTACTGGGTTTGCTGAAAGTACGGCTGTATCGTCTGTATGAGGAGTTCGATAGTCTGCAGATTATACTGAACAGAGAATGCGACCCAAGATGCAGCCATGCGGGACCTACCTCGGATGAATGGAACGATGGATTTCCAGAGCGAGCCCGACCACCCTTGAACGAAGGCTTGCCTCATGTCTAGAAAACCCGAGCGGCATTCGTTCCGCTCAAGAAAAGAATTACAAAAATTAACTTTAAAAAAGCCAGAGTTTCATCAATTTAGGCGAAATAATCGAGCAGAGTTTCACTAGCGTTTATCTTATCCGAGTTCCTTTATTTACAAGCTTGTATAGGTTTTCCTCAAGGGAAACCAAGAACTTTATATCGATCAAGTGAAAGTTTTTCGGATGTTTATCAGCCGAAATGTACAAGAATCCCGTAGAAGAGGTGAATCATAGGTCATTGGGCGCTTTGAGACAATAGTTGATTGAGTAACGGAGACAATACACCGTTGCGTGTGGTCTGGTACTGGTCGATGATTGGAATTTTTCAAAAGTTCAGATCTTTTTTAGTATTTTTCGTATGTGAAATTTCAGTCCTGACATGTTTAGTACATAAAAAATAAATTAAGTGACTATCTCGGCTTATGTCTGATTTACTGCATTGGTTTGTTTAAAAAAGTAAAAATTCTTTAAGTTTTTTGTCATCATGGATATTTCTGTTCAAACAGAATAAAGGTTTTTTTTTAAATTCTGGTTGAAATTTTAGTTTTTTTTTAACTTTTGGATTATCCTATTAATTTTAAAAAGGTTATCTTCTTAATATACAGCTCTATTATGTTATTAGGAAAATTTGTTTTTATTTTTTCATATTTTTCAATTGTAAAAACAAATAATAGAATTTTTGGTTTGTTTTATATAGCAAAACACAGATTTTTTATCTGATTTTCAGCCAGGAAACAGGTTTAACAATGTTAACCTTGAGTGATAACTTTTAATCATGCCTAAGGACATAAATTTGTTTCAAGTCAAAAAATGAACCCTTTCTTTTAAAAAAGTGATCAAAATGGGCCGAACACGTGTGCAATTTTGATGTAATCGCGAAACCCATACCCTGTTAATTGCAGGCTTGGTAGTTTTAATTGTTCCCTTCTTATTTGGCAGTCGGTTTAAGCTATTAATTTTTTTTCCCGAATAAGGAAAGTAAAACAACGTACTATGGACATTCAAGAGGAAAACAATCGGCCTGGCTTGTCGATAAGTAGCCCATTGTGCAATTTCGAATCGAAGTTCGCCAACACACATTTTAAACCTTCGTAGGCTCAATTTTTTACAATTTGACAAGATAAAACTGAAAAGAATAGTTAGACTTCTCGCCATCTTCAGTGATGTGTTTCTGTCGAAGAAGAAAATGATAAATTGCTAGAAATAAGTATAGTTCTTGAAACATCATATCTTGCTTTGTGAAATTTTTTGAAAAAGATCTGATTTGTTGGCTTTGATGTTGATTAATATTCTAAAATTTTCTCGCCTTCTTCTTTAATAAACGATTTTGAATATTAAAACTGGCTTTTTGTCCGCCATTTTTTTTCCCTATTTTTCCAAAATTGGCCAATTCGTGACAGTTATCGTCTCATCTGTCTTAAAATAAACAAAAATCATAAAAGTTTTTGTTATAACTTCAAATAAATTCGTCAAAATTTGTACAACACACGTCGAACATTGATATTTGTGATAAATGAAGAATGTACAATGCAGAAACGATGAATCTGAAGATGTGAAGATAATTTGTACGCTGTCATTTCATAATTTGATCTTTGATTATTATGGTCCGCTTATTTCCGCTGTTTGTGATTTGTCAGTTGCGTTATGTCGTTCAGCTATTTTACTCGTGTAAAAACAACGTATAATTGAGTTATAACTATTCGTAGAATCAAGAAAGTTTTGTATTAGGCCACACTTGAACTACACCTTCATTTTGTGTTCTTCGAATCTTTTGTGATTAAATGTTATTGCCGGTTGAAACGATTTTGTTTATTAAATGTTAAAAGATCTTTGGTTTAGATGTTTCTTTCCTGTTTAAACCTGTTAAAAGAAGTCATCCTTTTGACGCAAGAAGGTCGAGAGCACACTGGACTCACCTCTCGGCAAGGGTGAGCCTCCGGTCGCCGACGTACTTCAGTCCGTGCATGGACGAGGTCTCCGAGTATTCGATGGCGAGGTCGACGATTTTTGCGAAAACGCCCCTCCGCCGGGGTATGTTCTCCTTGGAGGATGAGCCCCATGCCTCCTTCCTGTCCGCCTCACCGTTCATCACTCCCGGTCCCTGAGGTGACGAGCCGCGAGGGCGCCGTCTCATTTCCCCACCCTTTCCCGCCGGTGTCACATCCTGAAAACATTACTATGTTTTATCACGCGGTGCTGTTTGCCAAATTATCGCTATATTCTGAGTAAAACACGTCCCAATGGTTTTGCACTGACCCCCTGTGACGGCATACTCTCAACTCTCTGCCTCTTTCAAAGATGTTTAATTGTCTTTGCATTCATCGACCTGTAATAAATCCAGCATGTTTCTTAAAGATATCTGGTAGCATCTTTGTGGAAATTCTTGTACTTTGACTACAAGACTCAAACGTTCTCTGCTCCCACTGGCTCCCATAGCCCCCACCCATCAAGAAACACCCAGAATCTAATCAATCTCGTGCTATAACAGAAAAACAATCTTCTTTCCGACATATATCAGGAAAAAAACCAGCCAAGTAAGAGTAATGATCAAACTGCAGGCAAAAGAGTATTCAACAACTCTTAGACCGCATATGGCTTCACAGTCTGTAGTGCTACTTATGATTTATTCGGCAATTGCCAGTTTATGGTGATTAATGCTGATGATTATAATTGATAAGTCTAAAGGTTAGGTTTTATTAAGACATTAAGAAGACAAGAAACTACAGCTTGGACGTTAGCGATCATTTTGGTCTATCATCACTGTTTTGGACTGTCAGACGTGTTGTGGCTTTTCGCCATCTTCACTAGTGGATTTGTGGCTTTAGATGGGGCGTAGGCTATCGATATGATCAATTGAGGTGTAGAAATGAATACTCGGAAATCAGATCAATCCAAGCCGGCCATCTTGTTCCCATCTCTTACTTTTACTGCTGACTTACGTATGATCAAGACTATCAACCAAGTCATTTCCAACGTTGAGAGAACCTGCCACAATCTGTACATCAACAAGAAGGCACCTCCGACATCCAGTGGAGTTAGGGACCTAGGACTATACCTAGAAGATTCTGACAGCTACATTTCCTACCGATGCTTTATTGGATTGAGGTGTCGGAAATCAGATCAGTCCAAGCTGGCCATCTTGGTCCCATCCTTTACCATTTATACTGATGATTTACGTATAAGAGAAAACAGACTTGACATAACCTGTACATCAACAGCAAGGAACCTCTGACATGAGTTAGAGACCTAGGACTGACTATACCTAGAAAGCTGAATTAAGAGGTAAGTACTTAACTGAAGAATCTGACCGCTACTTCTAGAACTGAAATTTGTTATTACGGTAAAACTAACTTCGTACCAACATTGACCGGCTGGGCCTCTTCGACCACCCGATAACATCTAGAGATTGTCAAAAGGTGGTAAATACTGAACTAGGACGACTGCAAATTACATTCATTCGAGAAAACCAACTTGTGGCCCATTGTACATCACTCACAAGCTGATTAGTTTAGGTGCTTAGGACAACAGGCAGTTGTAGAATCCCCACACAGGCAAAAGGAGAAAAGAACTTAACTAAAGATCTGGATAGCTACGAATTTTTCCAGGGCCGAAATATATTATAACAATAACAAAACCAACTTTTTATCAAATTTTCTTTGACCGATTCGGGCGTACAGCCACTTAGACCATCACAGAACATCTAAACATTGTCAAAAAGTAGTAAACTGAACGAGGATACTGTAGGAAAAATACTCGAAGTCAATCAAAACAGCCATCTTAGTCCAAACCCTTTAATATATACACTGCTGACGTACGTACCCATCCCAGTACCATCACTACATCCTTTTCCAAGACACCTTGAGCTTATCAAATAATGATGCAAAAAATATTTTCCATATTGAGAAAACAGGCTTGTCTCCCACTGTACATCAGCAGCAAGGAGGTATGCCATCTCCTCAAGTTACCTTAGATAGGCCATATCAGGCTTGCTTATGATTTCACATAAGAATTAAGAAATAATGTACTGAAAAACTGGACATCTATGAATAATTCTAGTATCGAAATCTGTTGTAGCAGTAGCAAAACAAACAAACTTTAGTATCTGCATTTGGATACCTTGCTTCCTCTAATATCCAAGGACATTTTATCAAACAGGTTAACAGTTACGAATATCTCTAATACGGAAGGTAAAACTTTAGTTCGACTACTTTTGGCATACAAAGCTGTGGGGTTCTGTCAAACCATCCAATATACAGCACATCCAAACATCCAAAACTCTTAAGACGAATCGTCAAAGCTCATCATTCTCATCTTTCGATCTGATCCTTAATCCTTCCACTAATTGTCATAGTTTCGTGTCTTCTTACAATTATTCTTCCGGTACAAATCTAACCAGACTTTGTCAAGTAAGCTAGGGGTAATAAACGTTAAATAAATGAAACCCTTTGTATATTGGATGTCCCCCGGTAAACATAGCGTGCAAATACATATGGACATGAGATTCTATCTGTTTTTCGCGTAAATTTAATCTCGTCGATAAGTCACTTGATGTTTAGGTGGAGCACGTGTGATTAAAATGTATGCCCTTAAGTTAAAAATTCCAAAGCGAAAGTATTTATTTAAACAAAAAAATCAGGTCCATTGATATGTCTGTTTTCATTGATTTTATTCATCTAAGTTAATTTGATTTCTAACGAACACACTTCAGTTGCAAAACCTAGAAAAACCGCTGCTTATGTACATTCTCCTCACCCTTTATTACCGCAACCTTATTCTTGACCACCAGTTCACCTTCATCCACGGAGAGGCTAGAGCCACAATTCACTTGCTAATGCGGTGACTCGTGGCCCCAATAACCTATCCGCACAAAGAGGAGCAATTAAAACAGAGCAGCAATTGGCCAAGGACTATTGCAGAAACGGTAGAAGGACTAAACCTAGGACATACAAGGACTAGAATGTTATCGCGACTGCTGACTGGTAACTGAAGGCTCCGGAGGCATATGCATAAATTCGGAGGAGGAAAAATAAGCCTGTGCAAATATTGCCAGGAAGAAGAAGAATATGGAACACTTTTTGGAAAAGATAGTGGTGGGACAATGCTCTTTTGGTGCGAAAGGCTAGCAGGCTGATATTCCTACTCCTGGAGGTATCTAGTACTTTCTACGCTAGGGAAGCCCCAATACTCGGGAGATGTAGTGCCTTCTCTGCCTTCTAGGGAGTGCGCGGGAGACCGAGCTGATGTATTTCGGCTTAGGTAGCCCTTTGCGCGCGTCATACGGTCTGATGCTCAATGCAGACCCGACCACTCGGAAAGGACAAGCGGGGGGCGAGGTTATATTGACTCTTCGGTGCTGAGCTGCCTCTACACCAATGCTGCGGCAGTAACACCATCCTGTCGTATGCGGAGATGCGTCAGCTCTCATCTTGAGAATCAAAACGTCCGATAAGGCCGAATAGGCTAGGTGCGGACGTTAAAGATCCTCATTGTCCTTTTTAGGATGACCGAATATACGGGAATGTACTGTACTCCTGGAGGAGGAAAGTGCCCTGGAAAATTTTAGAAGAGGTTACACTGACAAAAAAATCAAAGATCAGACAGCCAAGCAGCTATTAAAGCATTAGCATGTAAAAGAATTACATCAAAAATAGTCAGTGAATGCATCCAAAATCTCCAAAACCTGGGAAAACACAACAACCTGATGATATCTTGGGTGCCAGGGCACAGGGGAATTTTTGGTAACGAGGAAGCAGACAAACTGGCCAGAGGAGGATCTGCAAGACCACACATATGCCCCTAACCTATCCTTGGGAACAAACATAGAATCCTCCATCGCAGAATGGATCCAAGCAAAACAAAAAGAGAAATGGATAAACTCTAGCGGTGCTAGACATAGTAAACTTATGATGAAACAACCCTCACCAAGATTGGCAAAAACACTGCTGCAGTTGGAGAGGGCAAAACTCAGAGGAGTGGCGGGACTACTAACCGGTCACTGGTATCTGAGAAAACATCTACACAACATGGGTATATACAGCGATGATCCCATCTGCAGATTATGTAATAAGGAGGAGGAAACAGCCACTCATATCATCTTCGAATGCGAAGCAACAGCTCAGTGGAGGTTTAGCCTAACGTACGGAAAAGACTTAGGGAATCAAATTGGAGCAACAACAGTCAGTGACCTGATACTTCCTTGACTGAACTAAGGAACTAGGAAGGTACAATAAGCCATAAGGCTGCAGTGCCTGGGGAATACAAACCCCTTTTCCTAATATCCTTTCCACCATACCATACCTGGAGGAGGAAAAGGATCGCCTGGAGGATACGCACGGGAACCCTTAACAAAGCTTTATGGTCTGATAAAATTCTTAAGCATAACGAAGCCTCTAGAAAATTGTGAAGACAGATCAATTCTGATCGCGGTGTGCAAGGTCGAAAACAGGCCGCCTCCTTTTAACATTACAGTTTGACTTCATACCACTATTCAGAATGTCATCGCGTTGCAGGCATCATCTCTACTAAATCATCAAGCCTTGAAGGAAAGGAGTGCAGCTCTCGTGGATTCCCAAATGTGAAACAAGCCTTGATCGGGTGTGGCACTCGAGGCTGCCCTGGAAGCTTAAGAGAGTACCTACATCCTACTGATCCTAAATTCCTACTTAACCGACACAGATACTTAAAACTCATTAATGGCCATTCTCTTTCAGCCGGCTATCACAGGTGCAGGGGTATTCCAAGGAAGTTCCTTATGACCCATCCTATTATACACATACACCGCAGACATTCCTATCCTTTCTGAAACCATTCTTAACCCATATGAGGACGGCACTGTCATCCTTTGATCTCTAAGATGCCGTGATCTCTAAGATACAAAAAAAACCCTACTACAGACGTATTAGAAAAACCTTTACAACGATCAAAACTGATTCTGCAAAACCCTGAGTACTGGACGTAAGACAATCGAATCAAACGTTCCAAGCTATAATCCAAACCTTACAATCCAAAATGCTCCGTGCCAACGTCAACTCTACTTTCTATCTATACAATCTTACCCCCTCACAACGACATTAATATCCAATATGCCATCAAAGTAGCCAAAAATTTTCACAAACGATTCCTGCCAGAAACCTTTCATCTCATACCTTTACAGATAACCGATGGTTGAATTTATCTTGCGACCTCTTATTTGTCAGTAATAGTGATTAACGCGAATAGGAGTGACTACTAATGAGTATTGTAATATTTTTATGTATGCGGGTGATGAGACTGAAATTTGGTCATTAACAATCATTTGGTCCGCCTAGCCTTGTTATTTTGGGTCTTTCGGACAGTTTAATGCACTGTCCGGAACGATTGAAAACGACTAGACTGCAGGTACCCCGTACGATTCAACTTTCCTCGGGGTGATGAACATATAGATAAACAGGTTGTGATCGTTTTGGTCTATTATTTCTGTCTTGGGTCTTTCAGGCGTGCTTCAGATCCCATCTTTGGGCAATCCAAACTGAAGATGACGAAATGAATAAATTCGTTGGAAAACCGGTGATGATAAGCAGGTCGAGACGATCGATCAAATTACTAATAAACAGACAAAATCTACGACTCCAAAAAAGGGGAAAAACCTGTTAAAAGATTTTTTCGTATAACCTTTTTCTTATATATTTTTTTAGGTTTACCTTGACCATTTTGTGCTTATCTTCAGCTTGCAGAGAAATTTCTGTCATGGCAGCTCCTAAAAGAGGTGTATTTTTTACAATGAAATATAGGAGGATGTCCTAACAAAGGTTTTTTTTTTTATTACAGCGTATAAATAAAATCAGAACTAAAATAGGTTGTGCACGAACAATTGATTTTGAAGCTTTCCGGAAACTTGACTGAATGCACAATAATTTCTCAAGGATGGTCTAGTTTTGCATGACTATTAAGCCTTTTTTTTAGTTATTCCGCATTGGTCGAACATTTAATTACCGATAAATCGATCCGCTCCGCCCAATTTTCTCTAACTGATACGGATCGACCCTTGTTTTAATTAATACTAATTTAATTGATACTCAGATAAGTATTCTGACGATTTTGATCGAGGTATGAGACATGACATAAGTACGTTGTATAGCCGTGCAGCCTCTAAATTAATCGACTTAGTTAAAACTGTCATCGTTAAATCCTTAATTCAAGTTTTACGTCTGTTCCAACATCGTAATTTGGCAATTTTCATTTTAGACATACAACACATGCGTTAGGATTTTATTTAAAAACTTGTTTACTTTCATTTTTAAACGCATCATCGAGGTCAACGAACAAAAATGCGTATTATATTGAAAAAAAATTAGGAATTTAAAATTAATCTTATCTAATTTAATGTATGTAACACTTTATTATGTCTCTGTTGAAGACTAAAATTGCCTTGTTGGGCATGGATAGTCAAGAAAATAATTTTCAAGTGTTGATCACATTGATACCCTCATCCTCGAGACAAAATACGATAAAGTACAAGACTTTTTTTTTGAAAGGTCAAGTTAGGATTGCACCTTTACTCTCTCGTTTTCTATTTTGGAGCCACTATGATTATGACCATACCGCGGAATGTACGCTTTCTCCCACAAAACTAAGCACTTTCTTCGCCGTCTCTTCGCGCACTTTTTGTGAGAATTGTCTACACCGTATAGACCACCAACCGTATCACCATGTTTCTTATTTGCTCATCTTTTTTAGATGGTAGTTAAGATGCTGTTGGTCGGTAATCTCCCTCAAATCTTGCCTACTGAGATAATTCCTTCGCCTTACTTTTTGGCAGGTTACGAATCTCTTAGCTTGCCTCATACGTGGTGCTTCTTTCTCGATCCGTTTTACTAGCGCCAACTTTTAGCACTGGTTAGTTGTGACCAAGAGCCCCTACTTTGGCTAGCTGGTCAGCTTGTTGGTTTCCATACCTTAATATCCCGGAACCCACTTCAAGGTAACCTTTTGTGTTCACCTACCATTAGGCAATTTAGTCAGTCGCAGACTAGTTTGAAGCTGAAACGATACGCATACTGTCAACCAGAGTGACTTTATCCAAATTTCAATTTTAAGTCTAAATGGCCAACTTAGAAAATGCATATTTTCTCTGCCTTTTAAGTCACAGACTATGTCTCTTTTTTTTAGAAAATTTTACGCTGAATAAGACGGCTTTTTTAAATATTTTTCTAGCTTCAGCCATTCATCAGTAAATTTAAAAAAAAATCGGGAACATGATAATTTTTTTGCAGTTTATACAAAAACTTCAAAATTGAACTGTGGAGCCAAGGAATCGTCTTTGGAGCGGCGCGCGATTTTAATAAGCTTTCATTGGTCACCTTCCATTTTCCCCGATTTTTCAACCGTTTTCGAGTTATTCGCGATTTCTAGGCAAAAAAGGTGGTTTTTTACGTGTTCATAGAAAAACAACCACTCCTGCTCCCGTTTCCATAAAAAGTGCAAAAATTAACAGGACCCCGAAATTTTTAAATTTACAGATGAATGACTGAAGCTAGGAAAACATTTAAAAAAAGCCGTCTTATTCAGAGTAAAATTGTCTAAAAAATGAGACCTAGCGCAGGTCTGTGACTTAAAAGAAAGAAAATTTTCTGACGATGTCAAATGTATTACAAAAATTTAAAACCTCGTGGGTAAATTCACCCCTAAAGTCACACTGCCCACCACACTCATTTCCTTTATAAGGTATCTGAAACTTAATTTTGGGCAATCTCTCTCCTGTAATAAACAGTACTAATTCCCGCGGTCGTGGGTTCAATTCCCACCGTCGCCTGTGAACCTTTTTTTCTGACGCCTAAGGGGACCGGTGGCCGCAATCGAAAAAATCGACACGGCACTCGTCAATGGAAGGCCTGGCGCGGGATCGGATCCCAGCGAGCCTGAATTTGGTCCCAACCCCCTTCAAAAATGAATTTCTTCCATGGAAGAACACCGGCACACCGGGGACTCAAATTCACACGCGTATTGCAAACCTCCAAACATGGAGCCAGGAAAAAAGTACAATAAGCGGTAACCGCGCAAAATCAGTACAAATTATAACTTTGCAAGTTTACAAATTACAAGTTTTAAGGACAACATTTTATCCACAAGACCAAAAATGTTTTATAATTTACAAATGTGCTATTTAATTTTAATTTGTAGTTTTAAGTTTTAATTTTTCAATAAGCCGAAATATTTTCAATCAATTTATCAAGGCCTCTCTTTTGAATTGGAGGTGATGTTATCTTGTAGACAATGTCCCCTTCTTGGCAAACATTGCTAGTTTAGATGTAAAGTGTCTGATATTTTTTCCCAAACAATTTAATAATTTCAAAATCGCCCAGTTGCACTAAAAATGAATCATCTGTATTTGGCTCATCTTTATTCTCCTCACTCTCATCTAGCCTTTTCCGACAGTGCTCTTGCACTTGAAATATTTTGACATTTCCTTTATGTTAAATTAATTAAGGTACTCAATTAATTATACACAATTTTTTTCGAAATGAAAAATTTGTGTCACAGACGGGATTCGAACCCACGACTTTCGGCTAGATACGCCGCTGCTCTACCACTTGAGCTATCGTGACCTCGATCCGCTCGGGGACTAACTTCCCATCTCCACCCCACCTTTTGAATTTTCCCTCCTTTTTGCCATTTTTCGAATCCCGCTCGTGCCATTGACTTTTTTATCTCAACTAAAAACCTTAATTAATTGTAATATATTAATTGGTCAAGCGGACCACGAAATTAGTGAATTTAAT